TGGGACGCTGTTGCCAGCTTCCGGCTTCCTTGAAGAGCATTCGGGAAAATGCGTCAAAAACCTGCGCAGTCAATTTCTTTAATGGTTAATGGTTCATTGTGATCCAGATTGAGGTGTATATCCGTTTATCCGTTTATTTGTATATATACACAGTCAATCAGCCTTTCATATCAGGCGCGAAATTCGGCAGATCGTTGTTTGTCCCAGTTCTCCAGGATTCTTTTTGTCCTTCTTACTTCGGTTGCATTGTTCGCTTCTTCGTGGAGTCCGAGACGGCACTGGAGTTCTTCTCCCGTGTGGTAGATGTCGTTGCATTCGAAGATGACGTGTTCCATCGTCTCCCCGTAGATGCCACACCTGGGACAGGTTTTGTCGATTCCGGGGTACATCTTGTGAGTTCTGGTTGGCAACATGTTGGCTTTGGCCAAGGTAGGAGGGCGCTTCCCTTACTGTTATCGTAGGTGAAGCTAGTTACACCTCGAGTCTTCTTTCCCACGGCGTAGGTTCTGAGGCTCGTCTTGAGGAGCATGTTGTCTCTCCACATCGCCTCTTGGGTCTCCCGTAGCCTCTCTTCGATCCTTTTGTTGAAGATATTCGAGAGCGGGCGTTTTTCTACATCGAATCGGAGTCTGATGTCTGAGCACTTGTATTTTGCTCGAAGTCGTTCGGTTGTAGCAGACCGCCCGGGCCGCCATTCTGTTTAGCGTAGATCTATAACAACGAAGTTAAATAAACGCTAACTCGTTACACGACGACCCAACTCGCCGTCTCGTCTGTATCATACTCCAGTCGACCCGCTTCAGTGGTGACCCGGACGTGATGTCCACCCCCGCCGAAGAGTCTACCCCCGCCCGAGTGGCGGCCGTTTCGATCAAGCTACCACCTTTCTGGCCAAAACAGGCCGGCATGTGGTTCAGGACCATCGAGTCTCAATTCAACTTGCGAGGCATCACCGATGATCAAACCAAGTTCGACTACACGCTGACGACCCTGGACGCCGACACTCAAGAAAGGGTAGCAGACTTCTTCGACGAACTCCCTGCCAAGGGACTCCGGTATGACGCTTTCAAACGACGAGTCCTCGAGTCATTCCGGCTCGATGTGAATCAACGTATGGCTTCCCTGGTCAACCTGTCTATCGGGGACGATACACCTTCTAGACTCCTCGATAGGATGCTAGCTCTCTACAGGCCGGATACGAAGGCTTCAACGAATCCTCTCTTCCGCTACCACTTTCTCCAGAAGCTTCCCCTGCATATTCGTGATCAACTGGCACCGAACGACCACTACGAGCTTCGGGAGCTGGCCAAGTGCGCTGATAAGGTCATGGGTCATGGCCCAACTTCAGGGAGCGATTCCGACAGTCAGCGTTGTCGACGAGAGTTAAGAAGAGATTGAGGCTGTTTCGCGTCCCGCTCCGAGAGGAAAAAACAGAGCAAGAACGGGAATCCTCAACGCGAGCCTAGAACCTCTGCTATCTGTAGATTCCACGCGAAGTTCGGGGAGCTATCGCGTAGATGTACCATGCCGTGTGCTTGGCGGGGTCAGACGGCTCAGGATCAGGGAAACGCATCCACCGGCCGTCACTGATCGCCCTCGCGGCCGGTACCCAGACGAAAGGCGATCTATTTTTCGTGCCCTGCGCCCTGTCGGACCGCGAGTTTTTGGTCGATACCGGTGCACAAGTCAGTATCGTGCCGCCATCCGCGACGGAGCAGAAATCCCCGAGCATACATCACTTGATCGCCGCAAACCGTAGTAAAATTAATACATACGGCAAGAAAACTTTAACGGTAAACCTCGCTGGCCGGTTCAAGCCTACGTGAAGGGTTCAAGCATACGTGTAGTCGAACTTGGTTTGATCATCGGTGATGCCTCGCAAGTTGAATTGAGACTCGATGGTCCTGAACCACATGCCGGCCTGTTTTGGCCAGAAAGGTGGTAGCTTGATCGAAACGGCCGCCACTCGGGCGGGGGTAGACTCTTCGGCGGGGGTGGACATCACGTCCGGGTCACCACTGAAGCGGGTCGACTGGAGTATGATACAGACGAGACGGCGAGTTGGGTCGTCGTGTAACGAGTGAGCGTTTATTTAACTTCGTTGTTATATATCTACGCTAAACAGAATGGCGGCCCGGGCGGTCTGCTACACGGTCTCCTGGTACGCCTAGGTTTTCTTCAGAGTGAGCTCCATCATTCTCAAGATCGCTTTCGGCCATCTATTTCCAGGCATCGATCTCACTCTTTCGAAGTATCTTAGTTTGCTCAGGGCATCCCTTGCTTCGAAGGATGACCATCCGAGTTCGCCTTCGACGAACTCGTTCGATACTCTCGATCCTGGAATCCCTACTGCCCACTTCCCGGCTTTCCGCTGGGCTCTATCCAGGGCGTCCCTCAAACTGGCGCTCCTCACCAAGACCGAGTTGGCATAGGTGAGTTTCGGGACGGCGGTTGCTTTCCACTGCACTCTAGTGTTAGTAGTATACATGAGAGTAGGTTCAGCGTTCAGCCCTCTCCGGAATATAGAGTACAAAACAATGCGACGATTCTCACCAGTCGAACGACGACTGGGTCGTCGCTCGGCGATTTCGACCATTGGCTCTGAATGAAAGCTTTCCTTAGTACCGCCTCCCCTCTACGTTTGCTGCTGGCGATGTCACGGAGGAGTCTAAGGAAAGCAAGTCGCGTCAGTTTCTCTTTCATCCGTAGAACATTCAGAAACTCGAGAGGGGTCGGGCCACCGATGAATTCCGCCTTACAGCGGCTGTCTCCTCCCTCGCAAATATTATTCGTGCGAACTGGTTCGTTGATGGAAAAGTCATCCGGCCCTATTCCTTCCATCCAATGGGTCTCGAAGTAACGGAGGAAGGGTCCGAACTTGCAATCAGAAACCATCATTAATAATTGAGAACATCGCTTCGAAAACGGGCACAAGACTGCGCACCTTGTGCCCTCTCTCTTTCGCATAAAATGGTGCTTATCATATATCAATGCACCCGAGAATAACTTCTTCAGGGGAGAAACTCTTCTCCGAAAAAGGCTAGATTCTTCAAGCTATTTTTTCACAGTCAGCTCACTTCGCATTTGACTGCATCTCTGGAAGTTACATTTGAGTTCTCGTACAAAATTTTAACTCGGCAGGTGCCGTCTCCTTAGTCCAGCTGAATAGACTCTTTATCAAAGCAGGGGGCATGTATGCAAGGGCTCGCACTCTGCAGTGCCATTTGCAAAGTGGTCTTGGAAAATTGATTCGAAGTCTGAGCGTTTTGGCCCTTGTGCGGAGTGCTTGTGTGTAGTGAAAAAAACATCCGATCCGTTTGAATGGTCGGTCGCCCGACCCGAAGGCCGCCGCGAAAGCTGCTCGAAGAGCGCCTTCGTAGTCGGTCACTGCGCAGTTCGGCTCCAATATTACACTTACACTCTGGGGGAATTCATCAGAAAGGTTCCATCACGGCGACTGGGATGAACTTGGGCAATGCCCGTCGAGGACATCAGGTTATTTTTACTGCGCAAACGTTGATCAGCGCCTACAGAACTTCCTTGTAGGCTCCCATGCTTCGCGATGTCATTGCACCAAAAAAGCAAATCTATTCCGCACGGCATGTATTTGGAGAACCTTCCAGAAGGGGAGAGCTCGTTTAATAATTGATTCACTGAAGAAAGGAACTTCAGCACACGCAACTCGCTCGTTCACAAATCGTTCGCGGCCGGTACTTGGAGGTTCCATCATTCCGACGAGAACTTGACGGCATCTCCGGCAGGCTGGGGAAGACCGCGCGCGGCGCCGTAGACTCAATGCTCAAGCGCCATGGCGCGCCGCGGCGCTCAGGCATTGAGTCTATGGGACTTGCAAAGCAGGGCATGAATGCTTCTCGTGAGCATCCATGCTCTCCATCCACATCAGTCCTCCATCCATGCTCATGAGCTTCTGAATTCTAGAGTTCCACAGTATCTCCAGCATTAGGCGATTCAGGCACGGACAATAAATACTCATCCAGTCGGACTCTTATTAGTCTGTGAGAGCGGAGAAGAGCCCAAGAAGCGCCCGATCCCAGATTCGACGTTTCAAACTGCCGGCACGGATCAATGTCATCATCGGGGGAAAGGAGCATACTAACATTGCAGTTCCAAAGTTCCAAAACAAACTCAACCCCATGTTAACGCGGCGGGCGGCGACAGCTGGGTTCAAAAAGGATAGGAGAGAGCCGGTGCATCACGGAGTCAGTAGAGAAGTTGTTGAAGGTGGGAAAGAGTTCGTGTACTCCAGAGAGCTTCTGCGCCCGCGAGTACTTGAACAGTTCGAAAGCTGGCCGGCTCTGGAACTCTGGAGTTCTCGGCAATCAGATGAAATATGCCGTCTGGCTGTTTTGCTCAAATATGGTCATGGAATATACGCGTACGGAGAACACTCTCCGTTCGGCGTCTGTCTTGCCGGACGAGACCGCTCTCAGGCAAATCGTCCACGAGACCGATTTATTTCTAGGCCAGCCGGATTAATCGTCCTAGGCTGCCATGAGCCGCGAGGATTTGCTCGAAGCTCAAGTCTTCAGTCAACAGAGGCTCGATGAGAAATTGGACGAGACCACTGACAGAGAAGCCTGGCAGGAACTCATATCCGCCTATCTAGAAGAGCTGGAGAACGATCAGAAAACCTATCCATTACCCGGCGCAGACATCGATCGGGCAGGTGAAGACAATGTTTGTAGAAGCTCCGTTTCGAACAGCTCTCCTCCGCGGTCGAGGGTTCTCATTCTTTCTCATTGAATAAACTCCCTAATTGAAGGTGTGGAATGGCTAAACAGTGAGAAGTTGTCCTTCGATGAGCACTTCCGAGGTAGGCTCACGATTTTGGACTTCTTCACCTACTGCTGCGTCAACTGCATGCACATCTTGCCTCATCTGCGCGATCTAGAAACACAGCTGCCAGTCGAGGATTTGATTGTGATTGGAGTGCATTCCGCGAAGTTCGAAAACGAAAAGGTTTGTTCTCCCGATCGACCCTTATTTCTTCCTCTTTCGTCTCATGCGAGACTCGCGCAGCTGTTTTCAAGTCTCCGGGTGATGCTTCTACTGGCTGTAGTTGAGGTATCGGTGGAGTCCACAACGGTGTTGGTTGCTCAGCTTTCAGATAATGTGAGGCACGCGATTTTGAGGCACGACATCCGCCATCCTGTACTTAATGACCCGGAGATGAAATTGTGGGAGATGTGTCAAATCATTTGTTGGCCGACTCTCATGCTCATGGGTGAGGAACGGATCTGACCCCATGCGAAGTCATGGACTACATCTCCGATGATGGAGGATCTAAGCTTCGGCCGGTCCGGGAAGAGACTCAAGCGTTTTAAGCATTCAGAGCCAACAGGATCGTCTATCTCTGTCTCTATTCCCGAACTCCTTCCCTTAGCTCCGAAGTTGATCGGAAAGATGAGTCACTACCTGATTTCAGGTCCAGCTGGCGAAGTTTTGTACAAATTCATTGGTGAAAAGAACGTGGACAGATTAATACCATACGTCAAGATATTTGTAGAGTACTACAAAAGCAGGAATCGAATAACGAATTCAACCCCTTTGCCGCTGCGATTGATGCAGGGTGAATCGAGTCTGACCCAACTCCGTAGTCCGGGTAAAATCGCCTTGGATTACACGGGGGATACCTCATACTATGTCGTGTCCGACAGCGCGAACAATAGAATTCTGGTCTTTGACAGGTTTAGCAACGAAGTCCAAGTGAGTGCAATCCACCCCTCGTCTGCAACTTCGATAAATCAGCAGAACTTATCCAACCGGAATCCTCCGCGAAAAATTCCTGCCTCTGATTCCCGAACGAAATTTCCTTTCAGCTCATCGTGGGAACAGGAGAGGCCGGATTCCTCGATGGAGCCTACGGAATCTGTAGGTTTTCTTCTCCTCAAGGTGTCTGTTTCTACGACGGAGGAATTTTCGTCGCCGACGCTGGAAACCACGCCATTAGACGGGTGAATAGAGAAATTGCAGAGAAAAAGCAGATTGAAAGAACCAAGATGAGGGAGATATACCATAATGATCCCGACTCCCTCTATCAACGGAATTCGATTCATGCCCATTTGCTCCAGGTTGACTTCTCCACGAAATGTGTTTCAACGGTGGTAGGAACGGGAAAACAGGGAGTCGATTTGGTGGGGAATCTGGATGGAAATGTCCAGGAAATATCTACACCGTGGGACGTGGTGCTCTACCGCCACAGCGTCTTGATTATCGCCATGGCGGGTTCTCACCAGATTTGGGCCTATGCGACCGAGGACAACTGTCGTCTCTTCGATGGAAAGTGAGCAGGGCATTTGCCATGAGCTTAGATAGATTGGACTGACCATTCAGACTTCGACTCTTATGCATTGCCCCAGCTGATGAGACTCATTTTTCGGAAGGGTGGTTGTGGAGAAAGGACACTGTGTTTGCATAGCGGGAAGCGGCCGCGAGGAAAACCGAAACACCTCGTATCCCCTCAGAGCCGGATTTGCGCAACCATCGGGACTTGCCTTGGATACGAATGAGAAATTCCTATTCATAGCCGATAGCGAGAGCTCTTCTATACGCGTGATGGACATGCAGTCCGGTGCAATAAAGAATATTTGTGGTGGGGATCTGGATCCTACGGTAAGGATAATATATAATCTCAATACCGGCGGCTCTTGGCAGGAAACTCCATGCCCACTGAATAACGGAATCTCATCATAAATGAAAGAAAAAGACAAGCGAATCGTTAGCGGCAGCGGCAGAAAGATAAGCGAAGGTTTAGAAACGCACGGAATTACTGCTCTTGCAGAACTTATTTGCTTTCGGGGATCAGGATGGACGAGCTCTCGACGTCAAATTGCAACACCCGCTGGGTTTGAGTTGGGACGCACAAACCGATAAGCTTATTGTAGCCGATACCTATAACAATAAGGTCAGTATAGAGGACGATACGCTCTGGCCCCACCCCCTCTCAAAGTGATCCTACCATACATATAGACGAGGTATTTCTTCCGCAGCTCAAAATCGTCGACGCAAGGCTCAGGACTTGTTCCACTATTCCGGATGCCGAGGACTTCAGGGAGCCGGGAGGTTTAGCTGTGGACTCAACCCGCAGAAGGTAGGATTAAGTCAGTCTCAATACGATGCCCCAGGGAGAATAGCGGAGCGTAAGGGTGCGGTATAGCTCATGACGTGTTCGACGTCTCTAGGGTCTACGTGGCCGATACGGAGAAGCATCGAATCAAAATACTCGACATGAGCAAAGACTTCGCCGTGATAAAGATCCTCGGACCCGGTTTGACGGTGAGCAATCCTGGCGCGTTTCTTGAGCGATTCGATTGCAAATTATATTCGTCAGAGTCTAGTGGAGTCGAAATTTGTGAAGAGATAACAAACGATGACCGGAGACGAGAGCGATCGTCCATTCGTCCTGATCCGTGTCATACGCGACACTCAATCGCTGTAGCGATGAGACGAATCCCTGAAACCCGCCTTCAGTCCGTGTGTGGGATTGTCGGCTGTGTCTAGGAACTTCGGTAGTTGTTGGCTCACTCCGTCTGAAATACAGAGAGAGGACGGTGATTATTTCGGTGTGTTCTCGGTGCTAGATTGGAGCTTTGCCAGAACTCCCCCGAATCTCGGTCGGAAGACGGTAGCTCGGGCTGTTGGCTGGTTGTTGGCTGTCGGAACGACTCGGGTCGCGAGGGACCAGCTAGCCGCTGGCGGCAGCGTGTTGTGCACAGAGAGTGACAGGTTGGACCCGAAGAACAGACAACTGTTGCTGTCGCCTCTGCGGAAATCATGTCGGAGAGCGCGCTCTCCTTGGTGGACAATCTGACGGCCGAGACTCCGCTGGGCCGTGAAACACTCGAAAAACTCATCGCAGAAATAGAGAATGAAGATTCGAAAGAGAACGTTATCTCAGCAATCATCCAGAGCGGACCCCAGACGATAGCGAGCCGCCTACTTTCGGACGGGCTGGATGACAGTGACCGTGGCCTACCCGGGGAACTGCAGGTGAACCTACTCGCTCAGTGTCTGAGGGACGACGACTTCCGTTCGCAATCTACCGATGAGCATCTCATAAAGCGACTGCTCCAGACCCTCGCCAAAAATGGAGAACTCGGTGACACCAGTTGCGCGCATGTGGAATTGATCGACTCGGATCCTACGACTCTGCGACACATTTTCCGAGCTCTGAGTAACCTCTGCTACGAGAACGATGACGCGCAGAATATCATCTGCGAGAACAAGGGTCTCGAACTGATAGGCAGCTTCCTGGCTCCAGTTCTCCGCAGCTTGAAGCCTGGGGACCACGATGGAGTCCCAGCGTCTGACGAGCAACTCCTGATCTGTCTGCTCGGCTGCCTGTTCAACCTCGCTCGTGGAGAAAACTGTTTGATTCAGCTTCGAAAATTGAGACTCATGTCGCAGATAATCGAAATGCTACCGGCACTGCCGGAGTCGGCGGCGAGCCATGGGGTGAATCTTCTGTTTAATGCCTCGGAGACCCCAGAGTTCCAACCGGATCTATTGGCTCTGATACCGGACCTCATCGGAGCGTTGGGTAAACAATTGGACAAGAGCGATGATCTGCTGGAGATCCAAGTGGAACTACTGCAGACTTTATTTTCGGACGTATCGGATGAGGAGAAACTGAGAATTTACCAAGCAGGACTTTGGGAACCGCTGAAGGAGCTCGCCGAGAAGCGGTTTCTGAAATCCGCAATCGACACAATAATCGTGCTGCTCACCGACGACGAGTGCATGAAACGGATGTTCGATGATGGCAAGGGAGCTGAGTACCAGTTATTGAAAACGTGGCTGCGGAACGACAATGAAGACCTCCGGACGTGTGCTGCTTTGTCCATGGGAAACTTCGCCAGAGGAGACTCTCAGTGTGTACTCCTGATCAATGACTCTGTCGGCGACCAACTTGTTTCCATGATCTCCCCGTCTGCCGGCACGAATCAAAACTACGCCGTCCTCTCGGCTCTGAGGAACATGCTGATTCCAAAAGAGTGCAAGAGTCGTCTAATGGCTGCCGGGCTGCTAGAGAAGTTGAAGTCTCTCACCCCGATCGAAAACTACACCGTCGCATTCAAGTTCCTCGGATGCCTGCGGATGTCTGCCGACCGACAGCCCGCGATCGCGGAGCAGTTGGGTTCGGATCCTGAGTTGATCAAGAGCGTGGTCGGCTTCGCTCAGGTTGAGCTCCACGAGGGCGTTCGTAGCGAGGCGATGCGAGTCCTCTGTTGGATCTTGAAGAACACCCAGGCCGATTCGGTGTGTCGGACCATCGCGAACACGGGCGGTTTCGAAATAATAGTCAAAATGCTCAAGAGCGAGCATAACGTCATGAAGAACGAGGCCATTATCTCTCTATCGCTGCTGATGCACGAGCGCCGACCGGAGACCGTATTCAGTGTTGCGAGCAGAAACTTGCCTTCCCTGTGTCAGAATCTTGCGGAGATTATCGAGGACGAAAGCATGGCGTGTGAAGTTTTGGAGAACGCCGTGACCCTCGTGATTTGCATGAGTAATGCGCGGCATGAATTCCGCGCGATGCTGGTCCCGGGCATCTGTGGAGCTCTCGAGAAATTGGAGGGGAGGAGTGAAAAATTGCTCTTGAAGCATAAGTGTCGGAAAGCTCTCGCGATTCTGAAGGAATGACGCTGGGCAGTTGCGAGGCGCTAGACTATACGTATGTCAGGAAGCCGAAGGGGATTTGCAGCGAGGATCAACCTGATTCCTGGATGAACAACCCAATGAGTTTCTGGAATCGACCAATGTCGAGGAAGTCCAGATGTATTCGTACATACGCGGCGGCGCTAGATTCGAGAGCTCCCCGTCGGGGATTATCGAGAGACTCCTTGCCCGCCGTCATAAAATAAAAAGCCGATCGCCCTAGAAATCCATGCATCGAATCCTTTTCCAGTTCTCTTCTTCGAAGAATTCGCCAAAAGACTGTATCGACTCTACGGGTGAGCCGACCCACCGAACCAATTTCCAGTATTACGAAGATTGGATGGAGGTTCAACCTGACTTCATTTTGAAACTTGAACCTTCCCCCGCTCCGGGCGAGACTCTCAATGAAGAGGCCCCGCAAAAATGCAAGCTGCAAGGTTTGTGTGCTTCCGAATGGCGTTTAGAGGTTACGGGTTACGGTCATGGCACCGTTGAAGACTCCGGCGCAGGAAATATGTAGTTGAGCTCAGCGATTCGAGTCCGTCCGACATTCCAGGTGACGACTTTAGCCTTCACTGGCAGCATCCGGACACGGTCAAAATCCCTGCGAGGAACAGACTTCATCTCGTGTGCCACTTCGTCATCTGCAATGAGGAGAGGAAAACGTGCGAATCGCGAACGAAGACACTCGATTTGAGCTTCAAAGCGGTCAAAGAAGGCGGCTATTCGGCTGTAGTGGTTCCGCTCTTGTTGTAACCCAACGAATTCTTTAACAAGGAGTCGATTAGTTTGGGCGAGAAAGATGGAGAGAGTGCTGAATCGTTGATCTATGCCTCTAACTCGACTGCATCACGTTCGAGTCTACCAACTATGATCCATACATGTTGAACGGAGTTTGTTTACGCTGCGAAATCAATGTCGGCGGTCGACTCGGACAGCGAGTTTACCTCAGTTCCTCTGAGGCTTATCGGACAAGGTGCCCGAGACGCTAATTTAAATTATTAAGTCGATGGAATATTTTCACGGAGATGGGAATAAAAACTCCTTCAATCAAAGGAAATGACATGGGAGCTCGGCTTATAATCATTAAAAAGTTTAGGACTGGGGTTCGGGCGAACGAGCGGGATGATAAGCCTAGATGTGGATCTCGCACTTGAAGCGAAGCGAATGGTGATTCTCCTGCAAGCTCCGATGAAGTGTTGGGGGTATTGAGTGTCCTCCGAAATCCCGGTCACACAGGGATAACGGTGTAGACAGGAGACTATCGCCGCCTCGGTGTGACAGCTAGACCATTCCATGCCCTTTTAACTACGATGATCAAGCGAAGCCAATATAACAAGAAATGTACAAGTTTATTTTCATTCATTAAAATACAGTAGAAATTCCGTGCTCCCGAGGGAACACGGAAAATCTTTGTTCGCCTTCCTCTCGTATCCTCGCGGATCACTAGAGCGACATTTGCTACGCTTGTCTCTTCCCTGATGGGCGTGATGATCGTATCGATTTGACAGAGAAGCTCTCGACTCGTCATGATGAGCTATTGCCACTTGCCACCTTCAGAAACTACAGAATCCTTTCGTTCTGCTTTGATCCGTGATCACACCGGCAGATTCCGATCGCATTCCATTCATTGTCTAGGCTACCAAGACAGACAATAAATGTCAGTGAAGCCGATAGCTGTTATTCGTGCCGTCGCTTCCCCGAAGCCGGGATCGGGTCGTAAAAAAATAAAATGATCTCATTAGCTCCCTCGAATGCGGTTCGTGTCCCATGCGCTATGCCCTACGCTGTTCAGTCTCTCCGTATTTGGTCTATTAACAATATGATCTTAAATATCGTTCACGTGAACTCACAGCACTCGTTCTACTGACGGAGGTCTAACATTTCGGAATGGAAAGTCTCACTCGGATCACGCTTGAACACAAAAAGGACAATAGGCAGAAGGCTTGAATTTCACAGATGGATCTCGTATTATGACTATAGCTCATTGTGTTGCTCACGCTGTAGCTAGCACAGCCGCCGAAGCCGCATCTGCAGTTCTCGGATGGTCTCCGATCTTGTCAGATGGATTCTCACAAACACAACAAAGCGTCCTTGCTGTCGAGTCTCCTCATAATTCGTCGCGGAGAAGTGTGTACCGATTCGACGAGGGGGCTAGCTTCCGGAATGTCGATTCAGGAGGATCGGTCTGTACCGCGTTCGTCGCCGGGTTCTCAGGCCCGTAGTGGAACTCCCTGAAACAGCGAGTATCCCATTATCACAAGTCGTAGCCTCCCCTTGATTTCGGTAAACCCGGAATTATCGGTGTTCGATCATGATCGCTCCTAATACGGAAGACGGACGGAGCTTTGTCCGGGCAGTCTGTGCGAGACCGAGGAATCCTCCGCTCCGACCGAGACGGAAAATTTCGTTCCGAGAGTTAACGCAGAAACTCACCGGTGTAGTTTCCCGGAGAAAAGATCTTTGACGAACTGGGAAAGTTTTCCCGGTATGTGGATGTCGCCGTAGTTCGGTAGCAGATACATGTGTCGGAAGGAGTCGATGGCTATGACTGGGAGGTCGCGGGACGATTTCCCGAGATGGTGAAGCGGGTGTGCGAATTTGACGCCGTCCGCTATCAAGAAATTCATCGAAGTTCGTTCTCCGAACAATTCGTTCCTGATAACGTCTGAGAACTCCCTCACGGAGGCTTTGTCGTCCGGGTTGTGGAAAAGGATCAGGAACGGCAGTCCTGCGGAAGTTGCCGGAACCGTTAGCTCGTGTCGTGTCGTTCGAGGTTTCCGTATGCTCGAGTCTTTCCCAATCGAAACGAACTCCAAGACGGAACTCACCTTCCTCGGTCAACTCCTCAGCATTCTCGAAGGTTATCTCTCGAACGAGAGGAACGCATCTCTCCTGCGCCCATTGCTTCAGCTTCTCGAAATCCACGACGTTCTCTTTGTATTCAAGGGATCTCACGAGGTCGTATTTGTCGCGGGCCTCCTTGAATTTAATGCGATCCTTCGCTTCATCGGGCTGAGGTTCACGGGCGGTGAAGTAAAAATTGCAATCGTCGTGGAGATCGGATGCGATACGCCGGAAAACCTGGAACGGGCGGGGATTACTCGACCGGTCCTAGAATGGGTGCAGAGAAAATCCGACTGGGCAGAAGAATCTCCTCACCTCATAGGCTGTGCTTTCTTTCGACTGGAAATATCCGATCAGCGCGCTTTTGCTTTCGTCGACTGTCTTACTCAGATCGGCCATCGAACTCTCCACGACGTGGTCCTTGAGCAATTCCTGGACGTACGAAATTATGGCCTCGATCTCACGCTTTTTTCGATATTCCTTCTTCATGATGGCACCGTTGCGCACAGTCTTCAGCGTTGGATATTTGGTGATGTGGAACTTCGAGGCGATAGAAGCTGCAGATGAGAATTACCGTGAAATCATTTGTCTGATCGTATCGATATATTCGGCAGAAGAATCAACAGATTAAGAAAACTTCGAATTTCGACTGCATGGGCCGGATTGGTGCTGGTCGTGACTACGTCTCGTGATCGATGGAGTGGGAAAAATTCCGAGCCTTACTCTGCTGGTCACAGTCCACCTTGGCGAGAAGGACCCTCCCAGGGAATTCCGCCTGGAGCTTCGTGGCCGCCTCATCGAAGATAGGTTGTAGGATTTGGGAGAATCGACACCAGTCCGCGTAGAAGTTGATGAAAACTACCTCGTACTTGGCTGCAAGAAACGATGAATTACCGTCGGCCATGAGACTAGAGAAGATTCTAGCGGAGACTTCTTCCCGTAACAAGACGACTCACCTATCAGCTCTTCGTAGTTCGAGCTGGTCATTGCAGTGGCTTCTCCACATACGGATTGCGGAATCCACTGGAAATAGAAATCGTCAGCTTTCCGAGATCGCGAGCACTAGGAATTCCTCGAATGCGAGTGACCGAGCTTTTCTGGTCGAAAATATCTTCGATCCTTGGAAAGTTTCCGTTATCTCAGAACTTCCCGCGAATTTTGCCCTCAGCGTGGTTGATCACATGAGATAGGGCTCATCGATAGAGTGCTCACGAACGGTGGGGGCTTCCTGGGCCGCGGCTGAAGCCGTATTCAACATCATGGTATCAATGCCACGTTCACAGAAAGAGATCGTGTTCTATTTGAATTCAATGATGAGTCGCCAACTCGACGCTCCCATTCCGGAGTGGATAGCTCCCGGTATCGTGAAAGTCACTGCAAAACTCCGGCTAGAGACGATGAAGCGGTCGATCAAGTGTGAACGAGAGGCGAGGAAACGCTGACACAAGTTTGCTTAGGGAAAGCTGTCACCGGACCACGGAACTTCTAAACCATAGACGAGAAAACGGAGTTTGGGATGGACCCACTGGACTAGTTTAACGACCGACCAACCAACCATCTGCCGGGGACCGGATTCGACTTTTCAAGCAGGTAGCGGGAAGTCCCGCGATATCGATTACAAAGTACTCAGTGTTCGTCCTCGCCCGCTGAATTAATTTCTGTAAGCCAAGAACGAATATACGACCTTTCGTCGACTTCAGCCATCGAGACAACAAGTATGTTCCGCCGAACCCTCCTCAGGGAAAAATGCTGACAGGTACCCGGCTGCCCCATCCGCCTAACTCGAAACACCGTGTTCACCGCCTTCTCTAGCAGCGTAAGTTTTACGGAAAGTAGAAGAGTAATAAAGCGACTTACTGAAATTGACAGAAGGATCCAACAAATGCTCGAGAGTGATCTCATGTTGTTCAGATTTTGTTCTATTGTTGTTGTCGACGTCGCCGGTGGTAACAACTCGCCGCAGCGGCAATATCTACGGCAGCGGCAGCAGCGCTAGTAGCAATAACACAAGACTACTACCACCACCACCGCACACGAGAGCACGCTCTCCGAGAGTGTTTTTCCTCCAGGTACGATGATCGTACCAATAACAGCCTTAGACAGGTGTCACGGAAAGTTTAGAACACTTATGTTTACTACTTCGGAGCTCGAGCGAGCGAGAACCGATCGCCGGATAGACCGATTGTCGGCTGGACACTCCGATGGTGGTAGCAGTTGGCCCGAGAGTAGATAGACGCACGGACCTCGGGAGGAGACCGGCCAATCAGATCTACTAGCGAGTTTGCAGTGGCGACGTGTCCCACCACAACCAACAGAAGAAGCAGACGGTGTCTGTCTCCTTCTTGCTGCTGTTACCCTCCTCTGAAGCGCTATTGCTGGGACGACGAGGCGGTGGCGTAGCAGTCCTTTCGTCCGTAGTCGTGTGTGGTGGTGCAGCAGCGGGATGGGGCAGAGAGAGGGATTCGAGAGTGAGTGGTTTCGCTTCGCTAAATCAACAAAGACAGGCGGCCGTCCTCACACATCAAACTTTTGGATGAGCCGGCAGCAGCTGATCCGTTTTCTCTATTCCACTATGGCTCGTCCGCCGCTCTCGACTGTCGAGTAAGTTGAGAGCAATGATCCCAGCACTGATGCACACTGAAGTATATTCCCCGAACGTCTCGGCGACTCGGAGCTCTGACTTCCACGATACCTTGCTTGGCACACGAGACACATCTTATTTCTTAAGTCGATTCCCCACTTCAGGTTCCACCCTGGCGATGCTTTTCGAGGACTGAGTATTCTCGCCATGATCGGGAATATGCGGAGATCGTCGGCCAGCCGCTCGGCGAGGACAGACCGCCTCCGCCGAATTACGTGAAAATGCCTGTGAAGAGGTATGTCCAACTGCTTCGTCGCGTACATGGGGATCGAAGATCCGCGAGCACAACTACTTCTTCGAATCCGTTCATTGAGCATCGCCAATGAGTTGACAATCTCTTCCATTGCAGGGATCTCTCACAACCGAACGAGCTCAGATAAGAGCGCTCCATGTTCATATATTGAAGTCCCCGATTCTATCACGGGTCTGGCGAGCTGGAAGGTACCCCCTTTGATATGCGCGAGAGCAGCGCGTAAACGGATCGCGCAGAGGGAGTATACCGTTGTCGGCATTGATTCCCGAAATCCCCGGAGGAGCGAGTGAGGCAAGCCGGAGAGGATTAGTCGCTCAGTCAGTGCAGCGGGGAGGCGGGAATAAACGGATTGTCCAAATTCTGGGAGTTTAATGACCTATCATCAGGACACGTATTCCCAGACCCTCTAATGATATTCGTATGTGATCATGTGGACTATAGGAATGAGATTAGGTGCTTCCGATTCGACTTTCGGCTCCTCCGTGAGCCCTGCGGGCATCTTCCTCGCAGCTGAATCAGCTTGATACAGCCTTGTTTGATCAGGCCGCCGATCGAGAGATCCATCTGAGACGCCAAGATCTGAATAAAGCTTAGCGTTCTAGAAGTATTCATGGTCATTCTGTTCCTCAGCATGAAGGGGCTGCTTCTGTGTGCAATCTTTCTCTTAGCGCACGATTCCTCTGGTAAGCTGAAATTCCCACGCGGGAAGCCCCGACCCAAGATTTCTCTGTCTAGACCCAGGCATCCTGGGATCGATCTCGGAACGAAAACCTTCCAAATCATGACAAAGGCTCCAGAGCCCTCAAATACGTTAGAGTTCGAAGCCACCGACGGGACAAATCGTACACGGGATGCGGCATTGCAGGTTACCCGACGAGCACGAGGGCGCGCCGTTACGCCAAAGACCCCCTTGAAGCATTGAAGCAATTCGCCTGGAATCGAATCTCCTCGACTCAAGCTTACGCGATCTACAGCCGACTGAGAAGTCGACGATCCCTCGAAAATAATGACGGATACACCGGTTCACACGGCAGCAGTTCCAATCCGCCGCTCCGTACTGCGATGACACCCCTCCGAAACGTTCTCCAGAGACCTTTCAAGAGCTTTCAAACTTCCTCGCGAACGACCTCGAGCCCCTCTACGGTCAAGCCAGTAACGACGCCGCCCCCACCGTCGCGACCTGTCGCACCTGTGCAGCCGACTTCGAACGCGCTTCCCACCATCCAAATCGGCGCTGTGCCGAACGGGAACAGAACGTCGTATTTCATCGGATTTTACAGGTTAGAAGCGGCATCGTCTCCCGTGGGATCATCTCCTTCGACGATTGTGCTCAGCGGCTGCGAATTCGAGCTCCAATCCCTCCTAATTCTGCGACATATTGAGTGTGAGCGAGCGCCCTGTCTTTCCAGGCAACCGCAACCCAACCGCAATCAGGTGCCGATTATCCAGCGAACCGCTACTCAGGGATTAGGGATATTAACTTATACCTACAACCCTTCATTTGGATATACGAGTTTAAATCCGTGGGTTCAACAAACGGACTTTTACTATCCAGTGGAATATTTTCCGTATCTGTCAACACTCGGCCAGGATTCGGCGTTTGCTCCCCGGAATCCCGTCGCTCGATCAACTCAGAGGAGCGTAGCGCAGACCGCAAGTGGCTCCGATACCCCTCAAGTAATCTTGTACGGACCGGCGCGCGACAACCCGAGCAACGTTCAATACACTTACGTTCCCCTAGATGTGAGTTCCGACAACTTTTGCACCATGCGCGGTGTAAGAGAAGCGCTCCTCGATATCATGGGGGTCGGATCGCGCCTCCCTCCGTAGTTCCGGAAGCCGCTTTGGCCGGGAAAATAATTCTCAGAGAAGAGAAGCGATCCATAGCCTCGCATGGTCCGCTCACCCAGATTCAGTCTTCACGAATTCTAATCGAAAAAAAGAGGCTCCATACCGAGCCTCATCAGGGGTTTCGGAACCACCCATCGTTCGACGCTCAATCAGAACCAATTCTTCGAACGACCCTCATGGTAGAATTATCTGCGATTGTCTACGCTGGGAATTTGGCATAGTTCCGACTGAACACTAGCTCAATATCCACTGAAATCGGTATCCAAAGTCGCCGCATCAATGCCGAAGTCATAGTCGCGGTATATTCCAGGATCTTATCGGAGGATTAAGGAGGACATCATCACGTTTCTTCGGTTTCCTTAGTCGCCGCTTGCGCAGGAATCGCACGAGCAGTCTCACTGCCGACTGTCTCGATTGCTTCGATTGAAGGTGCCTAGCCCGCATTCGCCCCGATGAAGCTCGGAGAAATAAAGTCTCTCGAAAGTCAGGAGTCCTCGAATCACGCTTCCGAAAGTAGATATCAAAATCTAGCGAGTCGATGTTCCACTCTCTCTGTTTCTCTCGCTCTCGACTTTGCGTTCCCCTGATTTCCTGCGTATGATCCTGCGTTTTGTAGACATCGCATTAGGTACTCACAAACACCTCAATACGTGCGTGATTGGGCAGGATGGGATAAAACTGGTACTTCATGATGTGTCAGCTGTCAGCTTTTCGATTCAAAACCGTGAGATCATCCCCTCTTTGATCTGATCCCCGCGCAAAGTCGATGAGGAGCTGAATTGTGTATGTGGTCTGGGCAATCCTGGATAGTGATCCGCCTTCCAAGCAGTCGTATCACAGAGCTCGCCCTAAGGACACAGGGCGCATCGTGAGGAGATCGATTGGGGTTGGAACTGGGTCCCTCCAGGCTGTGTGGTCGGGCACGATCTGCGTCAGAGTCAACTCTGGCACTTACGCCGGGAGAGAAACACCTCCGGATTGCGGCCGCCGGATTCGAACGTAAATATCCTCGCACGTCACGGAGTCTCCGCGGTCAATCTCCTTGCCAGGGCTATTCCATGCGCTCGGTTACCCGGCGGTGTACATTAAAGCGAACCTTCTGTATACGATATGGGTTATTTTCAGAATCTGCCAATTCATGGAACACTTGATCATGCCGGGCCGATATTTCTTCGAATGACGATTCGAAAGCAGGCATTTCCCTCCAAACGCCCTTTCTCTTCCATAGCCTCTGAGCGTGTGGCGATAAGACGAAATTCCATGAGTTTCCCTCCGACCATCGATGGAGGGATGGAGAAGATTCCGCCGGTGGAATTATCCGCACGCGTCCACTGGAAAAATATTCCTCAGCCCGGAAGAAACATGTATGGGAGGACTGCCTCGACGCGGAGGATTCCAGGCTATCATATAGTTCTGTCGCTGGAGCGCGTCGGTTTCGTTGATTGGCTTCCGCAGCTACGCCTTGTAAGGCTGCCATCCAAAGCTGACCGATTAAGGGATTCGTGGTTTGAAACTACATCGCGATTCCAGCGTGACGACCGATCGGACCCTCAAATGAATCGGAAGCGTCTCCTTTACATCACAAGCTTCGAGTCGTGGAAATCCAAAAGACAATGTATCAGCTCCCTTCCTTCCTTCAGTTCCAGTAGGAAGTATTCCCTCACGACGACATTAATTCTATCGAGGTGTTTTGGGCTGAACTCTTACCACTCTATCCTTCAGGACAGGAAGCTCAGCAGCGCCTCGGAAAGATTTTCCGCGCTCGGGCTAGATAGTCTCATCCATATGAAAAAATGTACAGTTTGGAAAGCTGACTGACAGACTGCCTGATAGACAGGCGGTTCGACTGACAGACTGCCTGACTGACTCTTACCCGCGAGTCTCCCTCGCCGCTGTTAGTTTGTGACGCACAAGTGCATCAGTCCGTGCGTCCGTTTCGTCCAGAAGCCATGTCTTCCAATAGCCTATCAGTGACGGCTTGTCAGTGGGAGTAAAACGTTTCGTGCCTTCCGCTTCGGACCCTACCGACCTCATGTGATTTCCAAACTTCACGACAGGGCTACGTTCTAACTTTCGTCGAGGTAAGACTCTGCTAGCGCACTCGTCGGTGAGTGTCTCTATGAATAGATTCCAGCGACTATTCTGCTATTGGAAAGAGAAAACATGAATACTCCGAGCGGCTGGCGAATGCTCTGGCCGGTAGGATCTCGCGCGGTGCGGAACGTCGCAAACCGTCTCTGGAAGACAACGTTTGATTCCGACACAATCTCAGAATAGATCGCTTGGTCAACCAGGTCACCGATCACAGGCTTAGGCGCCGGGATGCTCCTACCGAGAGCACACTCTTGGAGACTCCACTTGACATTGCGTCTCATCATGACCGCCGCGCAGCTAAATAGAGCAGCGCAGTCGAAGCTCGCCGCGTAACCGATTCGAATCTTATTCGATGTGGATCTCGAGTTCTTCCTCGGGTCGACAAAACGGAATTCTATGAACATTCCAGCAAGGGTCACGATCGACCTTCGTCGCCAAAGGTCCGACGGTTTTTCTCTGTCGTGATTTTCTTTTGCGTCATTAATGCGACTACGCACTCCCTCATACGACCCTTGAATCTCCTCTAGAATTAGGAGTAGGCCGGTCGATGAATAACAACTCGAGCCCTTCAACAAATAACAAACCTCTATCGACCTTAAGAAGAGTTCCCCGAGTATTCCCCGCGATGACCGAATATTACAACCCTTTCCATGAGTGCCTTAATCGGAAAGTTTCCTGACTGCTTGAGTCGCCCACTGGCCTATCAGTGTTTCGCTGCCGATCGGGTGGCTCCTCGGCCGGCATCGGATGTCGTGTAGAGACTAATATGTCATTACCACGACAGTTTATGGAGCGTCTGGTCTCCGGCGAAATCTCTCCGCTCATTCGGGTATCTGATCGGCTGGAGCTCATGTTCCGATGATCTGGAGAGCATTGATCCCCGAGTATGTGTAGCGAAGGACATTCATCTCATCAGAATCATTCACTTCGGTCCCGCCTCATGATTGAATATCTGATCCCCCTACCCAGCCGTGTGTAGCCGAAAATCTTGATCCGAATCTCCGATGAGCCGTATCCCCAAGTCAGAGAAGGAAACCGAGCGGATATTTAGAGCCTCGGGTCCATCATCTCCGGCTGTGTGGCTTTTCACAGCTCATCAGTTTCGATAACATTATTTTCGAAGCTCTCTCCATGGTTTATGGACCCGACGAGAGAGAGACCTGCGGAGCCGATAGAAAATTATCCGAGTAGGGTTAAGGTCACGTCAGCGAAGATGATTATCAACAACCGCTCGGCAGGTCGAGTTGTGCAAAAATGAATCGAGTCAAATATTCAGCGGCAGAGAGAATAGAGTCGATCTCGCTGAGATTTCCAGATCGTACATGAAAGTCCCGATGCTTCTGACATCTCGCCAGTCTTGACCCTCACCCGGTGTCGGCACTTCATTTCGGCGACCCGACGATCACGGATAAGAGAGGTTGTGCCGATTGGATCGCTAGGCAGATCCTTCTGCTCTATCGACGAGAAGGTACAGCATGGATTCTGGATATGCCTTGAAAGACCCGGGATGAGAATTTAGATTCCTGTTCCAAACTGAGTTCTGCTCCCATGGAGACACGGAGCCCACAGAATAGCGGGTTCTCTCCCGAAACCGCTGGTCACATTCAACCACAATCGTTCTTCCGGCGGCATTCAGACCAGGACCGGAGAATGCTCCAAAGTTCTCGCCGATTCCACCTTAAAAGTCGACTCTTGACGAGGCTGCGTTGAGAGCAAAGATTCACGCCCGCGAAAGCAAAACAAGAGATCTGTCTACCGATCTCGGATGATTGTAGCTCAGACGCATCAGGTGATTAGGCAGTATCGCACGAGAGCCACATTTTGAAAAACATAATTCATTCAATCCCGACTCGGGGCCGTCTTTCGATGGGCTGAGGTCAGAGCGATTCGAGTCGGCAAGATACTCAGTGGAGATCGCTCCTCGCCACCGATAAGCGGGGAATCGGATGGTGAGACAGTTTCTACCTAGGTCAAATCGGAGAGCAGCGATGGTGACCAGTGACTTGTGCATTGAAGACCTGACAACTCCCGTATACATGTATCGGAACGTCTCTGGAATGAAGATCGGACTTGAACGACTCCGCTTCCGAACCCTCGATGCATATGATCCATGGCCATTATTCGTGACGGAGCAGCGATGCATGAGCCTAAATGATTCCCCATGATCGCTCGCGTGTGAGCTGACACGCTTTTCACGCATTGGTTTAAGGGGAGTTTCATGCGAAAAGTGGCGCATGGAAGCTGTACCGATGAGGCCGTCGCTTATCCTTAATGTGCTCTGAAAGTCTCACTCGTCACCCAGAACGATATGCGCCCACAAGTTGTTCTGGATTCCGAGAGGTCCAGAACCTAGACTATTAATCAGAAACTCCAAAATGCGACGAAAACGCCGGCGGAGTTATCGAGCCACAAGCAACTTTCATGAGATCGAGCATTTTTCTTTCTCCCTCGCTTCTGAGGAGCCGAATTCCCAACAATCGACGAATCTTCCGTGTAGCTTTCACCTTGAGGCTGAACACGCGATGGAGGAGACAATACGCTTCGAGAAATCAGCTGGTGGTCTTCAGTCAGGATCTTCCCGACCGACCGGCTACATCGCATTTTCCTTTCCGAGGATCGTGTGCCATCTCGCGGGACGAGAATAAAGCGCATCGATCGGGAAGAGCACCGAAGGAGCTCTGTTGATGAACGGCTATATCGAAGGGAATCACTAAATCTGGAATTCATCTCTTTCAGTTATCGATGATGAAGGAACGTCAGAGAGAACCTCGTGAGATTCATTATGAACTAGTGCCCCGCCGGGAGCGCCAGAACGTATCAGCTTGCAAATTGCTCTTTGCAAGCATCGTTGGAATAGTTATTATAGCTCTGATCGCCTTTCTGTTGCTACTCCTCTTCTCAATATACATCCGACCCACGCCGCCTCCGAGCTATATACCCGGGAAGGACATAAATCCGATTGGCATTAGGCCCCCGACTCGGAGACCAGTGCCGAGAGGCAAGAAGAGCCTACAGCTGTTCGTGGTCTACCATCAGGATAATCTCGAAAGAGCAAGAGATGTCGAAGCCTACCTCAACAACTCGTTGGGGAGCGTATTCGGCAAGAACTTCGACTTTTCCATCGGCAAACTGTCGTCTCCGAATTTGAACCAAGCGAACTTGCAAATCACAGTCCCTGAAAGAACATTGCTCAGGTCTGGGTCCCTCGTGGTTTTCGTTTCGGAACTCATGGCACCCGGTGCGGCTCAGATCGAGGAGATGATCAAAGGTGATCACAGGACGTGCACGAAACTTGACGTTGCTCGATGCGTTGAAATTTGTTCGGTCACGACGGGAAGCACCACACCATCGTTCTTGTCACCAGCGAATATAACATTCGATGGTGTCTCGATTGATATTCCCAATCTAGTCGACGTGGTCCAGGATTCGGTGATTTACCGGCAGTTGTCGGCTGACCGCTTCAGCTTGGCTCGACGATCGAGAGGTTGCGTCGTCTACGCGTAAGAGATGCCGGCGTCCTCAATACGAATCGCCAATCAAGGACAACGGGGATTCTCGAGAAGAAAGGCGCGAGTCGCATGTTGAGTCGAAATTCTGTACATAAGCCGCGCATCCAGGGTCCTCGGGGGAGGAGCTCCAGATCAGTGAGGGCCATAGCACAATTTTGTTACCGGATGACCAGAGGGACTGATGAATAAAATCAATACTTTCCACATATCCGGTCCGTAATTTTGTTCGCTCTCGCTTCCGACGAGCATTAAAACTTGTTATGTCTATACAAAGAGTGCGAGATGCTCACGGCCTCTGGCCGGATCGGTCCGAAGCCCGGCAGACTTCCATGGATTCAGAGGATGCGTATATTCGAGCAGAATCGTCGGAGGAATAGCTCTAGATTGAAGAGTTGAAAAACCAACGATGAGAGAGTAAATGCAAGAGCTCTCATCCTCATCGAGATTCTGAGGGAGCATCCCCTCCATCCACGGGAGCAATCCTAGATTGAGAAGAATCAACAATTTCTGAATGTCTCTGATGAGCCGGTAGCGCAGACCCAACGAGACGCAAATGAATCCTGAATAATCCCGGAACCGCCGGAACTAACTGCCTCGAAGGCGATTCAAGCCGCGATCCTGTCCAGGTGATAGCGCTCCAATGTGTCTACGCTGACGCGCTCTCTGTTTTCCGGCATGAGCAGACAGCCCTTGAAGTAAACAAACAACACAAGCTGGGCGAAAATGATTAGAGGCTCGACGACATAATCGCGGTCTTGCAGCATTGAATCATGCCGTATATTTGGCTGTGACTTCTTCGGATGATTCTCTATACAGAAATCTCCGTGAGCACCCGACGACCCCAAGGTTGGTTGTTAATTGGCCAGTTCTTTTTTGACAGCCTCATGCCCGTGAGCTTTCTTCCGGAGTCTTTCACGTCTCCCTCCAGCTCTGTCAGAAGAAGGCGACGGCTATACGGCTCAGAGGCGAGCGGAAGCTACGAAACAGGAGTCATATAGAAGCGGCTGAAAATATGCGAAACCGGACTAGTCAATGACGGATCTCCGGGCTTTCGGAAGTCTAGTTTCTAATTCTTCAGTCGGCATCGGCTCTTGATTTTTTCGAAGCATTCCTCTCGATGATCGCCAAGTCGCTCTATCGGCTCCGTCTCGATGATCTCATGTCTGAACATTCCTGCCAGTTCGTAAATCCCCCCTAATGACTCGCATCGGAGATTTCGGTTGATTCCTCTGAAGACATTCCTGTTCGCTGTTGCAGCCCGCTACCAATGATGACAGGAAGCTTGCGCGACACAGTCCCGCTATCCGAGAATTCCGGGGCGCAGAGATAGCTCGGCGCTTTGGGCGAATCCGACCGGTGAGTACAACAGTCTCGATGGCTAATCTCCGCTTCGACCTCTCCAGCAACGTGCCCGTAGCAATTCCTCAGCGACTCCTCTCTTTCAGTCGGTCATTTCAGTGTCCAGAAATTTTCTCTTGATACTCTGCTCGAGTGCCACGCGACAGTCATCATGCCCATGAAAGCAGCATCCTCTGGCAACGTTGCCGAGTCCCCGATATCCTGTATTTTCTTCTCCGAGTTCGATCCTAAAGTCGGACCGAAGATAACTTTCCAGTTTCCGGAAAACTATGTCCAGAAAGAAGCTTTTGACCTTCTTAAGGTGTACCTCATACCAAAAGAGGAATTACAACACAAACTCATAACATTGAATATGTGCTCCATGAAGATTCTCGGTTTCCCGGCTGGTATCAAAGACGACAAGTGAGTCAAAACATCGAATCGGCTCAAGTTATGGTTTCTAATTCGGCCGTCTCCCTCGTGCTGACATCCAGCAAGATGACCATCGTCCTGGAATTCCCCCACAGATATGAGAGGAATCAGCTTATGTTCAACTTGTGTTTTGTGTGCTCCGTTGACATGCGAACCATCCAATACGAGGCGATCGTGCGAAAATTAGCCCATTACCTGGTGACTTTGGAGCGGGAGAGTCAGATTATTTCAGATCCGAATGTGAGTCTTGACCGAACTAACGTTCCCTCTCGAGTCATCATCCTTCCCTTTTCTAACTTTTCCTCGATCGAATTCATATGACGAATCGTCGCAATCCCTTTATCGCAGATGAAACCCAATCTGCTGGACATTATCTGTCAAGTGCGGCACGATCTGGATGTGAAACGAAGCGCTTCGATAAAAGTGACGAAATCCACAACGATTTATCTGAAGGTCAGTGAAGCTTTTCCGAAATCAAATCAGTCCGTGTGTAGCCTTCCACATCCGCGGACCGTCCATTGCGAGGCGATCTCTTTTTTCAGGTTAACCGCGTCCATGCAGATCCGCAGGATGTACACGACCACCATGTACCCGTGTTCACCGAAAACCGTCCTGCTGTCTCTCCGAATCAATGGGATCTTACTACGCAGCGGATATTGCCGTTGATCGACGGTTTCCGACATGTTGTGCAAATCGCGCAAGAATCTGACGTCGACATTGACCTTGTCAAAGCTTGTTTGAGAAATTTGATCTATTACGATGTCATAAAAATAATACCTCTATTCTTATACTCGGCCATTTACGTGGCGACGCCATTGATGCAGAAGCTCTACACTGATCGCCATCTACAGGTGAGCTCCCGGTAGGACATGGCAAGAAAGAAATTGTTCCTTGCTCTTTCCGAATTTTCCCGATGGTGACCTGTATCTTTCAGGCGGACTGCGCCCGAAACGTACAGCACGGCATGACCGCGCAACCGAGCTTCCGTCACATATTTGCCATATATGCGCGTTTTGACAGTTACTACACCGTCGCCGACATCTGCTCGCTGATGAAGCCAAGAACGAAATTCATCGATGAGCGCAAGTTGGTCCAATTCGGTGTTATCCATGGCTTGCTGAAAAGGTTGGTCCGCGGCGGCGACAACAGCGGAGCTCAATCGGCGTATTCATCAGAGATATCCAGCTCCTATTTGTCCCCGGGCTAACTCATCTTCAAATATACTCTCCCGTAGATTACAGAAATATCCCGTCGACGAGAGCATGCATCGCTGTGAACGCACCGTTATCCGCTCTCAACAGCAAGCGCCAGAAGGTATCCGTCAATTCTTCACAGGGGAATTCAATTTCGATCAGATTTGCTGTAAAACTGGAAGCACCTACAATGAAATGGACAACATCATAGAAGAACAGAGTCTGATCTCAGTTTGCACAAAAAGTCAAGAGAACGTATGACGAGTATTGGTTTTGTTAGCGCTTGGAAAGTTTCTTTCTTTCGTATGATCATCCTTAAAATAAAGCCCCCGGGCATATTTTAAGGATGCAACCGCTGTCAACTCTCCCGGACTAGTCCTCTGTGAAAATCTGAATGACACGCAAGTCTTCTCCCAGCAACCTGTAGGACCCTAGAGTTGCTTGTGACATGTGGACGGTGTCTCTGATAGGAAAAACAGATAGAACCGCGGCGCGGCAGAAACAGCTGGGCTGACTGAGCTCGACAGAGATAGGAAGGGAGACGGCGATTTCCCGGTCTTTATGTTGAATAATTTATTTCATTTTGTTTCCCTACGTGGATCGCTCCGGTCTGGTCTCGGAGCGAAGGGATCCGACCAAACTCTCATGTTCCCGGGCTGCACTGATTCCTGATCGATACCTTTTCGCGCGATCTGCAAGAATCGTGCTCGATTAGCGATCACAGAGAGACAGAGACATATCTCGCCGTACCGCAAGCGCTGTCATTGCGTGGAAGAATTCCAATGGAATATTCTATGGCTCACCTCTTGATTGCGTCTGTACCGCTCGGCGTCGATAGATGGTTGCACTGCTATCGGATACAGCATCCCTAAGAAAACCGCCAAGCCGCCGACGAGGAAAAGTCGCCTCCTGGCAACGGACTGCATGATCTCGTCGAAAATGTACACCTTCTCAGAGTGTGCGATATATAGGTGCGACTTTGGCGACCCCTGCAACGTAGACTCGGCTAAGAGATCTGCTCCTGATGCCGTAGTTGTTCCGCGATCAGGGTTGATGATGGAATCGTTCGTTCGTCCGCAAATTCGAGAATCTCAATGAGGGAAATCGGACATTCTCTGCCCTTATCGCGCACTTGACTGTGTTCTCCGAATTCGAAGACTACCACCAGATGACCGAGCAGCCGCAGGTAAACATAAACACTCGCGACGGCGGTCCGGCGGCAGCCCGGTAGACATAGGAATAGGACCGTCGAGCCTACCGCAGAATGTTATATTTTCCGGGGTCCGCCGGTCAAGGGTACGAATGGCAGAGACACCCCTCAACACTCCCGAGGCCTCCCAGTGATCATGAGAGATATCCAAGAGAATTAAAGGGTGTGGATTCCCAGAGGATATCAATCAACAAGAGAGCACTCTGAGATGATTGCGATGATCTTTCCTGACAGTCCAAGTGAGAGCAGGCCTTTCTTCCGACCGCCATCTAAGCCGAACAGATAATTCCATTGCTGCGGTGCAACATTCCAAGATGTCTTTGGGACTGACAAGCATGCGCGTGGCGGTTCCCGCCGATTCCCCGAGTTAGCTCCACCGAACTTCTGTGCCTCTCCCAAAACTAAACTTCTCTTTTTCCGTATCAGGACTTCGCCGGGGCTTATCTCGGAAGAGCTGGTAGTGATTCTCCATTTTGCTTTTTCACTTCTGGGAACACGCGACTCCGACAAGAGACAAAGTCTCCAGAATCACCACATATCTTGCCTAGAAATGGTCAAAGAAGCAAATGAGCCTGAATACAGTCCGTTGGCCGCGAGCGGTCCTGCCGACTAAACTCCATTCCTTCTATCAATCGAGCCATCAATCGATGAAGCGAATCACGATTATCCCGAGAGTGGACACCACGAAGCCTGGTGCGCCATGCGGGGCTTGATGGAGTGGAAGATCAGTCTCTACTAATCGTTAATAGCCCGACGATTTTTGAAATAGTTGTGTCGCTCAAGCTGTACGCGAAGCACGTCATAGACCTCTCGTACGGAATCGTAGCGTAAAGTCGGCAAAGTCCATGGTGGGGAACGTCCGTGATTCCAGACTCCGTTGTACGATCCTTCTATCACATGGGAACGGCGCTCGATCCATTAATAAATGTTGCTGCAAGATCGTGGACCCGACGGGAGAGAGCCGGAATCCCGTGGACACAAGCAGCTCATCGTCAGCACTCTCAGTAGGTGAGAGAATCTGGAAGTTCGTTCTCTACTCTAGGTTGCCATCTTTGAACGGCGGTATCGCTTTTCGCCGGAGTGTCCACATGAAGCAGAGCTCTGCAGTGCTCTCGCATTTCTTCGCAGAGGCAGGAGCTCACACATCCGAGCGGCACATCGGTCCAGCTTATCCTGGAAGAGAGGGGGTGTCGGCGCTCATATCAGCGTCCGTCGTTCCCTACTAGACTGGAGATCCTCCTTTCAGCTCCAGCGGTTCTACATATGTCTCTGAATCCATCACAGACTCTGCTTCGTGTTCGACTCTATCTCATCTGGAGATGACTGCGGAAAAGAGCTCGGGCAAAACGTGCATTCGGAAACCCCTGTGGGCCTAGCTTCAGAGTGGAAGCGGTCTCTGTGTCGGCCAGGTCCGGTGTACGAGACGCTGACGGAGCGAATTTGGAACAAGCATATGATAGAAGAGAGGCAGAAGACTCTGCCGGGTTGACCTTTTCCCTCGGTATCCATGGAGACATGCCTCATTGTCCCTGATCTCTGCCAACAATGAGAGAATTCATGATTCCGGTCGGAGTGACATGGGCAGAAGGGGAGTCTCTGATCGCACCATTAGCTATCTGAAATACCGTAATTGGGAAGACACGAAGGGGCGCGAAAGTCGGGATTCTTCCAGGCATCGCGACCCGTCGAATCGAGCGATATGTCGTTCCGGAGATTTGCCGCCGCTCTCCTCATAGGATCCGCAGCTAGGTATCAACAATGCTCCCGAGGTGTGATTTTTCCTGCCTCAAATGGATCGCATTGGGGCACCATCTGATTCGGGGGGAAGGGCCGAAAAAACGGTCCCGCCACCGACACCGCCTCACCCGAGCGAGTTCGCCCACTGCGCGGAGAACTGAATGTATGCCCGCGCATCTAATATCCTTCCTCGAGCCATGTATTGGATGCGTAAACACGCCGCGGCGTCCGTCGCCTACGACTCGAAAAATTGCCACATGATTAGATGAGCCTTCCTGAGATGAGGTCACGAGCTAGAATCAGGAGCAAGTTCAGTCGCTCCGTCAAAAACGAAAATAGACTGGCATCCTGCGCGACCTTGTCCCTCCCTCTCCCCGTTCTTGACAATCACCATTCCGTTAGCGTAGCCGATACGTTGTCTTTCCGACCGCAACCGCCTCTTCTCTGAGAAGAATAAAGGGAAACCACGCTGATAACGCTTTCTTGTGACAGATTTCTAAAAAGAAAAATTAAAACCACACGATCGATGGTGGATCTTCCTTCAGCATGATTGCATCCCGATTCTCGATCTCAAAAATTCAGGCGATGAGGAACTCCGAGGGTGACGGCAGGAAACTTGAGAGAGCTTGAGAGCCAAAATCAGGAAGTAGGTACTTCGACCTTCGTTCTCCGTGAAGTAGACTGTCGTCTGCGGGGTTCATCGTGGCCGTTGCAGATGTAGCGGAAACGAACGATCTCGGAAAGGCACCCGCAGCGTACGCGGCGGCGGGAGGAAGGAAGCCAAGACGGAGGGTTCCCTCCCGCTTGAACCGTCTCTTCCCCACTAAAGTGGACGGACAGACCAAAATGGAGGCCGGTGTGCCTTTCTGCTCCCGCTGCCTGACCACTACAAGTCTCTCTCGTCTCTCTATACGGCCGTCCGCATGACGGCTGATTGACGACGAGGACGAGGACTACTGCTGTCTGAGGAGTAACCGACCGCCGTGTGCCTAGCTGTCTGTTTCAGTACGCGGGCGGGCGAGTGAGGTGGTGTAGTCAGTAGTAGAAGAGAGGAGTACCAACAATCTTGCTGTCCGCCGCCGCCGCGCCGTCGTGGTGGTGCTGCTGCTGCCGCTGCGACTGCTACGAGCGAGCGATCAGTGGTGGTGGTAGTGTTGGTGGTGTGTCATATGACTAGTTCAACGTTGCCGCCACTATAGAGCTTCTTTGCTTTCCGTGGATGCTGTCATTGGGAGTGAGCACAGAGTGACGATATCAACTCGGAAAGCGATCTCGCAGCGAGTTCACTGAGTCTCGTAATTTTCCGAGTCGAGATGAGAGCTGTAGCTGTGTCAGAACGGTGAATATGGAAAGGAAAAGAACACACTAGTGCGCAATCGAAAGCTCCGTGAAACAACAGAGGCCATGAATCAACACCAAGTCCTCACGGGAGCCGTTAACCCCGGGGACTACTGCTACTCGGTGGGATCAGTTGAAGGAGTTCCGTTCACGGTGAGTCGAACGAGGAGGTATCCTCTGTTAGTTGGTAATCGGACTCCTGAACGAATAGGAGAGAGTCAGTAATCTCGCACAATGTCAGAATTGACTCTCCCAGGAACAGGAGCAGCAACGGATCCCCTAGAGCAGCTCGAGAGTGCTAAGCCGTTGCGGATTTATTCCTGCTCCGTTTCGCTGACTTGGTCTCGCGCTCGGTCGTGGATACTCGGTCTCCACTCTCCACATAAATTCCAAGTAGCGGTTCTGTCCCCGTATAATTCGTGTCTTTCGGTCACAATATGAGATGGAATTTCCGTGGGAATTATCTCATGAATTCCGCAGCTTCAGGCTTATGATGTAATATACCGGTTCTCGAGGGCAACAGCTGATCGACTTACTGTTACTGAGTCAAAAACTGTATTGATATGTCTCAGCTCATAAGAGTTGAGCATCGAGGAATGAAGTATAGCTTTGTCTTCCTTGCGAGTTTCCTTTGTGCGGATGAATTGAATCGTTTGAGTGGAGAGCACTGAATTCCACGCTGCCATCTTCCATTTATTCTCGAATCTGATTCTTCCAGGTCTATGCTGCGGGCTGCAATATCGTTATTTTATCATCAGAGCTCGAAAGAGTTCAAATCATAGCAGGAGTATGCCATGGGAACGTTCAGGTCTGTTTACACACATCCTGGAGCGATCTCCATACGACACGCCGCTTCATGAATGTTGCTCTTTCCTGGAAATTTCCATGCCCCCCATCAGGAGAAATCCTGTTCGATCATCTCCCGGCTCGGATGAGGAGAACTCAATCATTCGTTCTCCGGATTGTCCACTTCTCCCCCGGATCATGATCACCATTGTAACATTTGTCTAACGCGCGCAGGTGACCTCCCTGGATTGCTCGAACGATGTTGGGAAAATCGGGGCAGCATATGGCAAAAAGATTTCCATATTCGAACCATCGCCACTTCTGAATCAGAGTTCTACCCATGTGAGTTGGTATCTGGATTTCTTCGTGAGCTCCTCAGGTTCGTCGGTGCGTTCACTCACCGGGCTCTGACTGTTCCGTGAACTTTCAGAAACTCGATTATCGATGGGTCGAGACGGCTTCAATCGACGTAGGCAGTCATATCAAGGTTATTTCTTGGAACATATCCGCAACGCGCCTCCTCGTAGCTACGGAAGGGAGTCTCGAACTATGGAATTACCTGCCGAAAGAAGAATCTGCTGCAGGTAAATTCGCCGAGAGAACAGGTGGCCGGCGAATGCGAGCTCCAAGCCTTTCCCCGGGGCTCCTTTCTCTCTCCTCTCGATATACATATATTCCCTGGTCCAATGATTCAAGCGAGGCGCAAGGTGAGGAGCAATCGCTACTTATACCAGGGGTCGGACAAGTCTCGAACTTTCTCGTTCAGCAGGTGTGAAGTTTACTATGGGCGAGGACGAGGAGGAGGAGCAAACTTCACCCTGGTTGAAATCTTGGTCGACAAAGACTTCGGCTCCGGTACATTTCCTGAAGTTCGCAAACGATGGTACAATGTTCGCTAGCGCTGCTAGGAACGATCGTCTTGCCAAAATTTGGTATGAAACTTGTGACTGTAAGTATTGACTTTTTCTCCATCAGCGTCTGAATTCCTAAATTCAAATGCAGCCTCCGATTCCTCAGCAGTGTGGCTGAATCCGCTCAGGTTCATGATCGACGAGGAGTTGGGAAGCACGCTTTTAGGGATTGCTCGTTCTATCTACTTTCAGCCAATGGAGAGAAGAAACCGCAGCAGAAGCTCTTCAGTTTTGTATACCTTCCGCATCCACGTGCCGTAACAGCGCTCTCGTGGCGTCACACCTCGAAATATATGCCGCGTGGTTGCGTCGCGAATATGTTGGTCACCTCCTGTAAGGATAATATCTGCAGATTGTGGAGTCAGACCCTTCTGCCCGAAGATGGACTGATCAATCTCAATCAGATAGAAGCCTTGGCGAACCAACAACCTCGACTACACCGCCACAAAAATAAAATCATGAATAAACTCAAACACATCAAGTCATTGAGTGAACACAAGGGAAAATCTTCCTTTGGATCCTCGGTCCCGTTGGCTAGCGACGTGAATGGTGTGCCACTGGAACCTTTGCCTTCACTCCCTAGTTCGTACTCGATCAACGATTTCCACAATTTCGCTCTGCAAGGCAGCGGAGTTGCTCCTGGAATACATTTCCATCTCGCGGCTTCAATAAACGCGGAATCAGGTGAGATCCCTCTGTCGATTCGAGGTCGAACGGAAGAAGAATTCGGGAAATGAAAACGAAATCCGAAGCGAGAAGCCTCCTTGACTCACTGTGGCTCTTCTCATTTTCAGATATCCCTTTGGTTCCTGCGATGCGCTCCGATGAAGACAGAGCCGACGACGCAGGCGGACATTTCGTACTCCACTGGCTGAATAACAAAGAAATCTGCTTCAGTCGAGGTGCCGAAAAGTTGCTCCACGATGTGTCTGTCAGAGCATTCAAGGAGGCGCTAGAGAAGCAAACGAAAGCCGAACAGGCAGAGGAGCCGTCGAAAATCAGCGATAACCAACCAGCTGACGACGCGAGCTTATCCGAAAAGTCTCCCACAACAGCGGCAGCGAACAGCAAGTCGGAGGCGAAGATCTCGCACTCGAATTCAAGCATCTCAAATGGCTCGGCCACGGGCCAGACAGCGACCAAAGAGGCTCCCAGGGAGCCGGATCATCGTCTTGGAGAAGCCCTCGAAAGCAAACTGGAAGCTCTATTGAAACAGTGGCACCGGAGCTGTGATCTGCTCTTCTCGGTGCATCCTATCGACGGAAGCTTCCTAGTTTGGATCGTGGAATACCTCGACGAATCGATCCCCGGCGCATTCCGTCAGCCGCAAGTCAGTTTCACGTCCCGAATTTCCAACGCCATCGCTCTCGGAGACGCCGGGACCATGTCCCAGAATATTTCGCTGTACCTTCCAACCGCCGGCCTCGACCTGAAGACTGTTCTCAAGGGACTCGGGGCTCTTGAGAGCACGGGCGATGCTGCGAAAGATTTAATGTTACAAGCGAAGGAGTGGACGTGTACTCCGACGGTGTCGATGATCTCAAAACATTCGAACGGTTCGCTGAACCTCTGGTATCTCACCTTCAGCGACGAGGAACAGCTGACGCAGGTCCTGAGCGTGACACATTCCAACAAGAGGGTCTGCGGTCATCGTTTCCGCATTAATGACATCACGTGTCATCCCGCACTCCCCTTACTGCTGACCACGTCGCATCATAACTCACCGCAGAGCGTTCTGTCGCCAACCTCCGAACAAATGAACAAGAACGGCGGTTTTTGCTCTGAATTGATCCTGTGGAAAGTTGAGAGCGTAGGTCCACTGAGTAAATCCGGCGGCATCGCCGAACTCGCCAGAATCAACAGCTTCCACCTCTCGGCGTTCTCGAACGTCGCGTGGATCCCCACTCTGCTGCCTTCGACAACGCTGGGCACGATTTCGAACTCGCCCTCGGCATGTTTCGTCGCTTCCGATGGAACGAGGCTGCGAGTTTATCAAGCTCTCATCGACGCGAGATCTCTCCTGGCCGAGTTGACCATGGCGCGGAAGCGACAACAGGCCGACACTCTGAGTGTCAGTTCCGTGGCCACATCGGTCTCGTTTGACGACGGACCCCACAAGATCGGTCACAGCGTCATGGATGGCTTCAACATCGTCTCACTTCAATCTACGGCGCGACCGGGCTGCATAATTGAACTTGACGCCATAAACGACGCTGTTGCGGACTGGCAGCACACTCAGCTACTTCACGTTTTCCAGGTGAGCGTCCGGCACATCCGTAGGATCTCAATAGAGACGGGTGTTCATTTAGTGCCGAAGATTGGGAGAAAATTGAATGAATAATAATTGACGAGATCGTCGCTATCCGATGTCTGGGCGGCCGGGCTTGAATTCCGGATATTTTCACAGGAATCATTGGTCTTGGGCAATTGCGAAGAGAGTAAGCTAAACTTCTTGAAAGGAGGGGAGAAAGCGAACAAGTCCTACGTCGACCTGAAGAGCACAGCCACTTTTTGCGAACCGTTCTATCTGGTCGTCATCGAGAAGAACGATTCGAAAAGCATCCTCCACATGTGGAAGCTCACCATTGCCTCCCAAGAAGAGGATTCCCAACGGAACGCTCCTGATACGGTCGACAACAACCACACCGCGACCCAGAAACTCGAACCAACGCAAGCTGGATCGAATCGTAAGTGTCCGGGAAACCGGCTCAGAGCTCCTCGGAGTGTTTGTTGTTCAGCCCGTGCGTGATTCTCTGTCTCAAAGCGGAAGTTTTCGATTCCCGATTATTATGCTGTCCTCTCATCCACAGCCTTCGTCGGTGTGAGCGATGCCAAAGATTCTCGTAGATCGTCGAGGAGTTCCACGCCCGACCATTCAGAACACTCGGTCCACGCGTCACCTCTGAAAATTGTGACAGAGAAACTATGCGAGCAAGTCCTGTCGCTCCCTGACAATGTTGAGATCGTGCACGCGGAGCCCAGTGCTGGACATTTGAGCTCTACAAACATCTACCCAGCGTGTCTCGCGCCGTATCTCATCTCCACGGCGTGCAGCGATGGTCGAACGCGATTCTGGAAGTGCGCTCAGGTCGGTTCTCGAAGATTTTCGGGTAGAGGACATCTGTCCATGCCTTTCAGAATGAGGCGAGCTGATCTTTTTCCATTCCGAAACTCTCTCCAGGACGAGGACGGCCATTTGCGTTGGGAGGAGTGGCGCATGGTGCTCCACAGCACCGAGTCGGCAATCGAAGTAGACGGCAGACCTCTTGCCGTTTCTGCCGCTTATTCCGGCCGGGTGGCCGTCGCTTTCAAAGTTGGCTCCTCTTTCACGAGACCGACGAAGGGCAGCGAAGACGCTCGTTACGTGAACCTGGCGGTGTCTATTTACGAATGTGAGAGCACCGGAGGATCCGAATGGATGCTCGAAGATACCGTAAGTAGAGTCCGGATCCGAGGAATTCTGTCGCTCCTTTCGTCGCCGGCAACGAGGATCTGGCGATCGAAATTCGTTCCTCTAAAACATGCCCCCCTCATACTCGTATTTCAGATCCGATTCCGGAACGTCAAATTACCGAAAGTATACTGTGGCGAAGGAACGGCCGACGATGTCGACCTGTGCTCGATGTACGACGCGAATTTACGCAACCGCGTTCAAATGGATCACATAGTGAAGAAACTCACCAACTCATCTTCGAAGAGTGACTTGAGTCGCATGCTATCCGTCCCAAGTTATGCGACCCTGCAAACTTTGAAGAAGTCGATCATTGAACAAGGGAACCAATGCGTATTGACGCAGAAATCCCTGATGCAGCTCGACTGGGTGTCGTCGGAAGATGGTTCCCATATCCTGACCGTCGCTTTAGGGCCGAAGGTGATGCTGTATGCGCCCGTCTCATACGATATCGCGCAGTGCAATGCTGCGCCATCTTCTACGAGCGCGTCATCCGGGTAAGTCTTGTTTGAGCCTCAGCAGATGGCGGAAGACTCGTTCTTTGAATGTTCTCAGAGCCCCCAGGACCGGGCCCCCGCGAGCCCACCACGGAAAGGAGTTTGAGTCCCATTTTTAACTTACCCATATCACTCTTCCATTCGCAGAACCACGTTCCACCGGCCACTCCTCAAGCAGAGGTCATCCATGGCGCCCCAGATCGAAACCAGTCGACTGCGTTGGATGCAAATTCGGGGCTTCGAACTACGTACGGCTGACGGTTTGCCGGCGCTACCGATGCAGCTATCTTGGGTTCGCGACGGAATCCTGGTCGTGGGAATGGACAACGAGATGCACGTCTATTCCCAGTGGAAGCCCCACAGGAGAGCTCTGACCGAAGATAACGTCATACACAAGAACACCGAAGAGACCTTCAACGATCCGATTTACACCAAGAGGTGTTTGCAAGAGGACGACCTTTTGAGTCGAGTGCAGGAAACCCAGCTGCGGATGGGCAGCTCGGCGAACCTCACGAGGAACGCTTCGTCTCAAGTAATGAACAGCTCGGTGGCCGCTTCAGCTGCCGCCGTCACGGCGAAAGGCGACAAAACCTCACTGCAGAGTGAGATGAACGTCAGAGAAATGCTTCCCGATTTCGGATTGTTCGAAACAAGCCGTCTCGCCTGTCCCATGCTTCCCCAATACCACCCCAAACAGTTGATGGAACTGTTAGCCTTTGGAAAAATCAAACGCGTCAAGGCCATTCTGGCGCACCTGGTACGATGTTTACAGAGAGGGGCTGAGCAACAAGAACGCCCGACATTGTCGCAAGACGGCTGGTCGAAAAGTCGAACTTATTCGCTCGCTGCGCCGTCCGGGTCCACTCCGCAGGCCTCTCCCGGTGCGACCGACAACGTTTTCACAGAGGGGATCCACTTAGACTATGTCGAGATCACCTCTGTTCCACCCCTGCCACTCCACAAGCTCCTTGACGCCGACACGCAAGTGTACACCCACGATAAGAACAATGCCGACAAGAGCTCCACGTCGTCGGAAGCCGCTCCGACGACGACGGCCGCGACTTCGGCATCGACCGCGCAGATGAACAGCGTGGGACAGGCAAACGACTACTCGATACTGTTCGAAGAAACTCACAATTTTAACGCTCTTAACGAGGACTCGACCGGTCGTCCCAGAACACAGTCATCGTCAGAACGGAGGAGGAATCCTAATCATTTCGGCACGCAGCAAGCCAGCATTCTCACTCAGGCAAGTCGGTTCTGCTGCGACAAGCTGCCAGGAAGCCTAGATACCACTTCGAAGGAACCGTTCCGCTCCCCCAATCTGCTTGCCCATCGCTGAACGACCGGTGTTTCCCTCCTCCAGGTTTTAACTCACTGCAGTCTCCCCGGACTGTCGAGTCTCGATCAAGTACACCTATTGGCCCTTGCGGACTCGGTCGCTTCATTCCAGTCCAGTATTACGGAACGATTTTCTCAGCAAGCGACAGGTCAGTCGATTTTGGAGCGACGCGTCCGAGAATCTCGCATTCCCCGCTCGAATTTTTCCCGCTCATCTATATTAATATTCATCGATATTCATAATGTTCCGGCCGTGACAATATTAACGTATTCTTGGTCTTGACTTCATTTCAGTATCAACGACGAAACATGACTCTCACCATTCGTACGTCAACGTCGAGGCCGCCACAGAGGCCCTCGACGACTCAGGTCTTCGCTATTTACTAGCGACGAGACATCACACCTACCTCCTGCGTTGCCTGCCCTTATCGGAGCGAGCGGCTCTGCAGAAGCAGGGTCTGCCCCCACATTCCGTTGTATGGGCGTTCCATTCGGAAACGCAGGAAGAACTAGTGCAGCTGGTTCTCAATCAAAACAATCTAAAATGGGCTGATCTCAAGGACCTGGGAGTCGGATGGTGGTGCAAGAACAACGCCAGTCTGAAGAAACTCATTGAACGAGTGGCGAAGAGCGCGTTCCAGAAGCATCAGAACCCTCTGGACGCTTCGTTCTACTACATGGCCTTAAAGAAGAAGAACATACTCACGGGTCTGTTCCGCTCGGTGAACGATAGGAAGATGACGGACTTCTTCCAGAACAACTTCAGCGAGGATCGTTGGCGCCGCGCGGCACTCAAGAACGCCTATGCTCTTCTGGGGAAGCAGAAGTTCACGCACGCGGCCGCCTTCTTCCTCTTGGCCAACGACCTCAAATCCGCTGTGCAAGTGTGTTTGAATAATTTGGACGATCCTCAACTGGCGATGGTCCTCGTACGGTTGTACGACGGAGGCGAAGTCGAAACCTACCCGGATAGTTTGAGACCGATCGTCTATTCGCACGTTCTGGGGTAAGCAGCCGAGCCGGGAGGGACTGTCCGAGCTCCACCCGTTCCGCTCGTAGATCACTGTGTCCTCTATATCGACGAGCCGAAGTGTTTTTCTCAATTCCACGAGTTCGTTTCAGGTGCAACGAGAAAGGCGAGGACGCTCACGCTTCCCAGGCGCATCCCGATCCGTTCATACGATCGATGGCCTATTGGATCCTGAAGCATTACGAGGACGCGCTGGCGACTTTACTGCAGACGGATATCGGCTGCTCGCATCCGGCATACAAGGAACCGGCAGAAGGAAAGGACTCGTCTGCGGATCCCGCCGTTTTCAACTTTTATCTCTACCTGCGAACCCATCCGTTCGTAGTGCGCCGGAATCTCGCTCGTCTCATGAAGGATCGTCGACAGTCCCGAGCCATAATGCTCAGCGGCTTCAATTCCGTGACCAACGGCGATGCTTCAACCGACACGATTACACCGTTGGAGCGTCGACTGTTTTTCACGACCGCACACGCGCACTTCAGAGCCGGCTGTCCTCCGCTGGCCCTCGAGGTCCTGTCCCGCTTACCGAATTGCCAGCTCGACTCCGACCTGAATACCTCGACCGACGACGGGCCGGACGCCCTCGACGACGGGGCGATCAAGAGCGGGGATGTCGATTGGAGCCAGCCTGTCGTCCCGCAGAAAGCGAGCGATTTCGACTGGGGACCGGCTCCGGTATCAGAGAAAGCGACCGATTTCGATTGGTCGCAACCGGTACCGCAGTGCGCGGACGCCTTTGATTGGAGTCAACCGATCCCGTCCTCGAACACCGGGACCACAATCAACGGAGGCTACGGAGAGAAGTCGCCACAAATTAGTGCAATGTCGAAGGTGAGATTCCTTCGCCCGGTCTTGCCAGCGTTCCCGTTTTTCTGTAGACAGTTTCACCCGTCTTCCGAAATCCGCGGCGTTCTAAGATCGGTTTTTTGTTCTTTTCGCAGGTTGAGCCAGAGCCCGAGCTTACGAGTGGCGGCAAGAAAACCAAAGAGCTCATCGACGTCATGGCGCAACAACTCAAGTTTATCGCTTGTTTGAAAATAATGATGGAAGAGCTTTCGACGTTAGCTACAGGCTTGGAAGTCGACGGGGGACAACTCCGTTTCCAACTATACGTTTGGCTGGAGAAATGCGTCGCCGCCCTCCGACAGCTATGTCATTACGGGGCCAACGAGGCCACTGACCAACTGGTCGGTCAAATGGCGGCTACCCGACAAAGCCAGGACACTGTGATGCTTCACGATGTCCTTCTGCAAGACAAGAAGGACTTCGAAGACAAGATAGCTCGAGCAGCTCGCAGGAAACAGTGGCTGAAAATGAACGAGACCCTCTTGAGGACTCTTTTGAGCTATTCGGGGCTCCACGGCGCTCACGGGGGCGGCCTAGCTGCTGTGCGCATGGAATTGAATCTTCTCTTGCAAGAACTGCAACAAGTTCGTACGCCTCAAGCCCTCTTGGCATCACCCTTGCCAATTCCGACGAGTCTGCCATTGCTGGCGGCTAGCGTCGCGTCGAACAAAACTGTTGTAGCCGATCCCGTGAGGCACGTCCAATGTCTGGCTCACGACATTCTGCAAACCATCACTCAGGACCTTTCGCTACAATTGCCCCAGAAGGGTGATCTTACCAAGATCATGGTTTTACGTGATTTGAGTCTTTCGCTTTCCGCTTGCGTATATCAAGCACTTTGTGACAGTGACAACATACCTCAGAGACGTGTCGGTTCGAGACACGGTGACGACGACGTCTTGGGACCGCAAGCGGTTCTACAGAACAGTCTTCTGACGCCGAACTCACGCGAGCGTTCGAGTTCCGCGTCGACGAACGACCTTCTGCCGACTTCGGCACCTTCGAAATGGCCCGGCGTCCAGAGTCTACGAGCGCTTATGGCTCGTGACAAGGACGAAGACGCTCCGAAACTACACACTCTCCTTTGTGAATGCTTCGTGGCGGTTTACATGTCGTTGACCGTTCACGCTATGGCCTCAAAAGACAGTCAAGTGCTCTTCAGACTCGTAGCTCAGAGAATGAGTGATGAAATGTGGGCGGCTCTGTTCGGTGGGGGAGCTCAAAAACTCCTCAAGGTTCAAGTGAGTCAGACGGCGCTCGCAGGATCTCGACCTCCAGCGGCGGCAACAGCAGCATCCGTCAATGACACAAGTGAGTATCGAATTGGTCCGAATGAAATTCTGACATCCGCTCGGGAGCAGAGCGTAGACGCTCCATGGGTACAGGCTCAGTCAGGGGAGTTCAATAATTTCTTTGTTCCAGGTCAAGACGCTGGAATTTTCGACAGTATCGCTCGCCAACGTTTCAAGTTCAACGTGAAACTACTGCCCCAACTCGTCGGTGAAAAAGCTCCGACCTCTCCACCACCCGCGGACAAGACTACTGATGCGAGACCTACCTATAAGGAAGTGTTCGTGCCCCCGACCCAGTCTATGGTAGCTATTTCTCTCTCATTCATTTCTCCATCGTTATTCGTTCTGAGTCAGCTGATTTTCGACCAAGCCTATTCCGTATGGAGTCGAGAGATTGTATCACTCCCCCGCGAGATTCTCTTATAGATCGGAGAACCTCCGTGACGCCGACCCTCGCTGAATTACAGATTGCTCGAATACTGACGAAGCCTCACTTTGAGGAAAACCTTCTGCCTATCGACTACGACTCAAGCGAGTATGTCGACGACACTGAGATCGAAGAGGAATGGAAAGACGAAGTTTTCGATGAGAAATCCGCGGATGGCAAGCCTTCGGGAGGGAAACTCGCGAAGTGTGCGTCTGGGGACTCGTTCGAGGAGGCCTATTCGTGGAGCATTATCACGCTCTCTGTGCTCAAGCTCGCATTGAAGAACCTGACGAAGTTCCTCCACACGGCTGGAATCGAATTCACGGATCTGCCGGTGGCCAGTCCCCTGATCCACGCATCTCAAAAAGCGCTTGAGCATTGGCTCGATCAACAGAGAGATATCCTGGAGAAGGGACCGAGGGCCGTTGATTTATTGCCCAACATGATCGTGGACAGTTTCGTGCATTCGGGCCCGGCGATTCACAAATACAAGGTCCTCCTCGAGACTGACAACACACCGTTCCGGGGTAATTCACCCGCACTACGCGCGACGAAGCGGCTCTGGAACTATCTCGTTCGACAAGAGGAATGTCAGGACTTCTTTATCAGATACATTTTCTCACCGCCTAAGAGACCTCCTTTGATGGTAAGTTTCTCCGGGCCGGATTCGGGCTGATCATTTCGCTTGATGAGCCCCGCGGAGGCAAACATGATCTCGGTACTCGCCTTCCCGACGCCTGATACTGACCTTCCCTCTATTCCTCGTCGCAGCCCACGGACACCGATGCCGACGTGGAAGAGGAGGTAATCCGTCCAATTAGAGTGATACACAAAGATCAGGAGAGCATTTCGGCGTTCTGCATCGATCGGATGAACGGCACCACAGCCACCGTCGCCACTCCGAAAGACATGCAGGAGCTCGACATCACTCGTCTCCTGAATGACGTCGGCTGGCTCGAGAACGAAGCCGAATTCGACATCATGAATAGGTGAGTACGGCGGGCTCTTCCTCCCTCTCTTCCCTTATTGGAGCGGTCTATTTCGGAGAAGTCCGCTCGCGATGTCGAAGGCTCGGCTCTGGTCCTGTATGGAATGTGTCGTTCTCATCGTTGCTTGTTCACCCCGTTTAGGAATCAAGACACCAATAGCGGTTGCAGCGAATATCTCGTCATCGAGCACCCCATAGATCCTCAGCTCCTCGGTGCAGCTGCCAATTCCGTGTCGTCGCATGGGAACACCCCCATAGCACCTCTACCAGCGAACTCCATCGTGACGTCGGTCCATCCTCATGGAAAAAGCAACGTTGTGAGTTTTACTTACTGAGTAGGAACTATGTGAATCCTGAACATGGGTCCTGTTTATCTACTAATACGGAGAGCCAAACATGCACGCGACGAAGAAGATTTTGGTCTTCTCCACCCGTACACTTAAGAAACCAAATTTTTCTGACACGCCGCTCGGACAGAATTTGAAAAACTTACACTTCCCTGGAAGTCAAAACCCGCAGTTTTGCGAGTTTGTTCTGTCTAGGAGTAGACTTATGGTGCGAACGGTGAGTACATAGTGAAGCGGAGAGCGCTCCGGAAATTTCGGAATTTCAATTGTGGATCCGGCTCTCTCGACGGATCCCTACCGACGGGGAAAGGTTGCTGGGATCTATGAGTAGCTGAATGGTGAAACTATTGAGCTCTATCCAGGCCAGTGAGAGCTAGTCTTATCGTAGCTGAAGTTAGGAGGATCGACGAGAGGGCCCGTCCCTCGCTAGGTATGAATTAGCGGATGTATGAGAAGCTAAGAACTGAGTGAGGAGTGAAATCGACTGTCCGTGGCTCTCAATTCCCTCCATACGTCCGTCTGAGCCCCACACGTATGCTTCATCCTGTTGTCAGTCGAAACTCTTTGCCCGATTGAATGTGACCATCACATCGATTTCCTCTCTTCGTGTGGCTTGAGAGAATTGACCCGCGTAACTTAACGTCTGTTTCTCTTCATCGCGCAGAGAGTCTCCATCTCTAATGGAAAACCCCCTCTTGAGGTATTTAGTACTGCATCAACTTGTAGAAATTCTGTTTCGATATGTCGACTCGTACCGTCACTAACTATGATTTGAGCTCTTCTCGGATTCCGATACATCTTTCGCTGCGGGGACTCATTTGGATTTCTCCCGAGGGCCGCCTTTGTGTTTCACCTGGTGTAGCATTCGGAATAGATTCAGATATTGCTGGAGGTTACCGCTTCTTTGAATTCGTTCGCATCGTGACATTTGCATGTTGTATCGACCTTAATATGTTCAGAATCCATTGCGCGTCATCTTCCCGAGTAGGCCGAGAAAACCTCTGGCCGTGGCATCAACGTCAAATTCATGCTCGGTGCGCTCCAATCGCTGCGGGTCCATCCTCCCGTCTGCTCCGTTCTGATGCTGCGCAACTCGAATCCAGACTGACCGGTTGAATATTCCTTTGAACTTCCTTGATGCGTATTCATCCTGTCTTAAATAATTCGTGTATTCCTCTGTTGGCTGAATGCATGGTTACTCATCCATGATTATTTATGCTGAATGGTCGTGTGAGTGATTATGACGCAAGGCTGCGTTTATCTCGGGAGACTCGAAATACGTATAACCGGCTTTTGCTACTACCTCGAGCCGTAACCGTTGAGAATGATCGAGCTCTAATTCGGAATATTCCGGATTTTTCGTTGGCGCTTCGCAGGTTCATGTATTCGACGCGAGTTCATCCGAAGAATCAAATTTCTTATTCATGGGGTTTTTCTTCCAGCTCAAAAAGCACAAGGTAGACTCAGTACGCCGTCTCGCGTCGCACCCATCGGAACGTCTATGTGAGCGGATATTGAGAGATTATATCATCAGCGCGTCGGGAAATAGCTTCCCGATTAGCAGCAATAAATCAGGCAATAAAATTTTTGATTTCGTTGCGGAGATTCGACTGACGCGCCGATTCATTTTTCAGACCTTTCTGGCGGTCAAGATGGGGCCGTCCAGCTGTGGGAGTGGGGCCACGCATCACCTGTGTGCACTCTACGCCTGCCTGGTACTCACGCCAAAGTGACATCCTGTTGCTTCAACTCTCAGGGTAACAAGCTCGGAGTCACCGACGGCGATGGTTTCATATCATTATGGCAGGCAAGCGCAGCTCGCACCGACCAGATGCCGTTCTTTGTAAGTTCAAACGACGCCAATTCCTAATGAGACTAAGCTAGTCGAGCATTTTTTCCACATGCGAGCAACTTCGCCCCGTAGAATTTACCTAATCTCGCCGACATCCCGCGCTGACGTGCTGAATCAAATTCCTTGCAGAAGACTCAGTGCCACAGCAAGCAAGCATCGGAGTTTGCATTTGCGGGAAGCTCGTCTCTTCTGGCTACGGGTGGACAGTCTTCGGATGGCAAGAACGTCTGTCTCTGGGACACTTTGCTGCCCCAGAGGAAAGCCATGATCGGTTCATTCCAATGTCATGAGCACGGCTGTTCTGCGTTGCTCTATGCGCCCCACAATAGGCTGCTCATCTCGGCCGGCAAGAAAGGGGATATTGGTGAGCGGGTTTTCGCGTGGACCCTCGATCGAGAGGAATAATTAGAATATCCGACAGTGGATGAATCAGAGGGTCGCTCGTAACCCTGGGATCTCCGCTAATTCAAATTCTTTCTTACAGCGATAATTGACGTGAGGCAGCGCGTCCTTCATCACAAATTCCAGGCGCATGATTCCGCCGTCAAATGTCTTTCTCTCGATCCTCACGAAGAATTCTTCATCTCGGGCTCTGCCGACGGTGATATCAAGGTATTCATTCCACTCATTCGATGCCGATGAGAAACGCGGTGGATTCGAATCCCGCGCCCCGGGAAGATATGGAAGTTATCCGATTCGCACTTGAGGACGCTCCCTTGATTCGATTCGCCATTGCAGGTGTGGAGCCTCCCGGCGTACGGATTGCAGCACTCTTTCAAGGGCGAACATTCGAAAAACAGCTTGTTCCGCAGTATGGCTTCCGGAGTCACCAATCTTTACGTCGATGATCATTCGAGGATTTTCTCTTGCGGGGCGGACGGTTCTCTGAAACTTCGCCAGCTCCCTAACAAGGAGTCCGTCGTAGAGTTGGCTCCGTTCTGAAGGAACACAATGTGCCGACATTGAGCAATTCCCGTGTCCTGAAGGCTATCGTACACACTTCTCTTAGCTGACTTAGATCCTTCACAATTTTGGACTGTGGTTCGTTGATAAGCTTAGTCAGCAGTGTAATTAAGTCATTACATGACCAGTGGATGGTGAGGATGATTTGTCAGGCTTTGGCTATAGAGTTGATCCGGAGAGTTCAGCGAGCTGACGGAGGGGAAACGGAGCAATAGGACGGAAGAACTCGAGGAGAGCATTCGCAACGTTCCGTGATGATGATTCCACAGAGGAACTTGTCTTCTCCAGTTCATACTTGAAGACAGCGCTCCGAGGGCCGAATTACGAATCGAAACGACCTGACAACGACTGGAAACAGCAGATGCTGCACGTTGTGTACTGCGATGTGATTTAATTAATTTTCGGTGGGTTATTCTGATATTTTGACCTCACCATAGCCCGTTTCCTATGGTCGCGAACTTCATGCAGACGTGGGGGCACTGTGGTTACCGATGCGATATTTTTCTGTTGACGATTCCGTGCAACGTTCCATTCATAATTTCTTCATGTAGTCCCCTTGAGGAAGGAGAACATGTTGCAAGAAGCTTGTTGATTTAGAAAGGACCCCGTGTGAGCACGATCGAAGAATGTGGAGACACATTCGTTCTGGAAGCTTTCGTTGCATTTCCTCATAGATGGTTCTTACCCTTATCCAAAGGTGCAAGTCTAGTCAATCCACAGACACTCGCGCGTCGTGGATTCCGTGTCGTACCATGCGGCCAGAAAAACACAATTCATTGCGATCGAGAGTCCCTTAATGAATTGCGCGTGTCTCGGTGTTGTTCAAAGCGATGTGAGCGATCGACCCCTCAACGACGAGCCTACGAGACGTCGTTCCTCCGGAACCAGCGCCCGAGAAACCAACCTACCGACGCCGCTTTCACTCGGATGAGATAGGCTCTGTCGTTTCCTCTCAATGTGATTTTGTTGTTAAGTTTGACTTGGGCATACGCATGGATGTGAGTGAAATGAAGTTCGTTCTATCATTAGGTTGGCATACGAGCTGCAGGAACTTCAAACGGAATAATGAACGGCAGTAAGATAATTATTTCTCCGACGACTACAACTGAGTCAAATCAATAAAGAAGCAACTGCTACAATGATTTGAGTGAATGTCCCCGTGAGTTTATGTCGAAAAAGTTTCTAACCGTCTTCGTACCCACGCTCGCTGCCCTTTGCCACGAGTCGCCAATCACCGTGACGCAGAAAGAAATCGGCGAGGAGCGATTGAAAAGGGTGCCAAGATCTGCAACTGCAAAGGAGAAAACTAACTCGTGCTGGGATAAAGGGCGGAGAGCCTCTGAAGCGACCTGGTTCGAAAGGCATCGGATATTTCGCGAGCCGAATCGTATCGCGAGTCGCGAGACATTGCTTGCACTTTCGAAGCGATACGCTGCATATCGCGCTATCTCGAAGCCGAAGCCCCGAATTTTCCATGAATCGCTTATCACTTTTTCATAGGCATGAGCGGAACAATTTATTCAGCAGACTCTCTATATCTCTCCGCGTGAGTTTACCTATAGTGCGATGATCCTTATATTTCGGAACTAAGATTTCCCCACACGATTGACGTTCACCGCGTCGCCTCTCCTCCGACGCGACGCGTCGATTTTCGTAAATTGAGATGTTTCCGTCTGGACTCGAGCAGGATTTCCGGGAGTGCTTCCCGTCGAAAGGATATACCTATCATATTCTTAACATATCATATTTACCGTGAATATTCTTATAGACGGGCACGCTCCAATAGACGGGCATCTCCCGGTGTATACGAGAAATAGACGGGCACTCTCCAATAGACGGGCACTCTCCAAAACTCGGGCAGTCTCCAATAGTAGGGCAGTCTTCAATAGCCGGGCAGTCTCTAATAATCAGGCAGTTCCCGATTGACGGGCTCTGGCTCACAAGCCAGAGTGTAATGAGCGATCCGTTTCCAGTACCTTCGCAAATTGAATATCTTCGGAATCACGTAATGGAAGAATGAGTTTCGCATTACTCAGTCAGCGTCTTGAATGAAATTGCGATTATGATAGGCGCTTGTATGCAGCATTCAGCACGAAGGTGAAGTCGTGTAGACCGCGAAAAATGGCTCCAATGCGGGACTTCCTCTCCCGAAAACATACTCTCCGCCGTCATCACCACGCTGAGCGTCGACCGCTCTCAGCATCTGCGCAAGATATACCCGCCATGAAAATGGAGGGAAATCCGGCTTTGATGTAAATCCAATTCGTATTCGAGAGATGGACAATTATTACTTCTGTTTTGAATCTCACAAAATCGACAGGCAGCCTTTGATAAACGAGCGGTCTCTGATAGACGGGCAGTCTCTGATAGACGGGCAGTCTCTGATAGACGGGCAGTCTCTGATAGAAGGGCAGTCTCTGTTAGACGGCCAGTCTCTAATAAACGGGCACCTTCAAAAGGATCGAAAAGTAAACGGGCATGCCCGTCTGATAGAATGTTTATGGTATATGACAAGTCTTCATTTAACGAACTAAGGTTCCTCAACAGTATAGGTACTTTCTATATCCATTATCGGGAGGTCGACATTGGTTTCGGTTCGTCTCGGAAAAAATCAGAATCTCCCTCGTTCCTGAAGCTCATTTCATGGGCCGGCTGAGACCTGAGAGCTATCGAGCTGCATCTCATTGTGGAGATAGACTCCGTCAGAAGACTTTATGCACGAGTAACATCGGGATTTATTCATGTTCAGGGGAGAAAATTTCGTCTCAAAATCAACCATCACTCTCGTCTTTGTCGATCTTATCTGAGCTCACGGGTCCCTGTATGCCTTGGAGCTCCTCGTGTATTTTCTTTTGAGATTGTCTTTTGATTATATCCCATGGTTGATCTCCTTTCCGACGCGCCTGAAAGGAAAGAAAAACGGAGAGTTTGAGCTCATGACGAATTCCTCTCCGTCGGGCCCTTCCGAAGTTGGATTCGCTCGAATGCGGAACTGGTATCCTGCATCTTCTTTCATCCATGCACGCACTTTTCGCGTACTCTCCTTTCGCAGAGAAATTAATATTTTCTCATTCGGAGCCGTCGGAAATCATCATCCCCTAAGCCCTCGTTCACCGTGTACCCGCCGCCTCAAGGGTCAGAAGCTTCCTGCTTCCACGATTTCCAACACTTCGGAAAAGCCTGCCTGGAAATCCCTCTAGATCTCTTAGCAAACTCCGCCGTTCCTCAGCCGCCCGATTTGAGGTTGCAACACGATGTGGCGCCGCGTCAACAGACTCGGAAAATCGGCTTGGTCGGCGAGTCTCATCCGGAAGTTAGATAACTTCCTACAGAAAACAGCAACTCCTTATCCTGCGATTTTTCCGATCTCCGACGCGAGAAAGTTTTTCTCGGCGTTGGCGCCGGAGCACTGCCTCGTCGCCGGCAGCTTCCTTCGTCAGATTCGTTCGCTTAGGATCGGAGCTCCATTCGACACGAATGGGTACGCTTTCATTGCGAAGAGCGCGCTCCGTTTCTCACAGAACAGAGGATTGAATCTCTTTCTGCATTCTGAGTGACCACTACGAAGGTATGAATCCATGTGGAACGCGAGCCTCCTCAGGCTCATGATCACCGGGGAGAGAAACGACTGGCGGGACAGATTGGCCTCACCTTCACCTTGAGGCTTTGTTGGAGTTCATCCTCACTCTCACTCGAAACTCCTGCATGACCCGGCATTTCACTTCCGGACTCCGAGCGGTCTACGCGGCGCATCGTTTCAACTCGTTTCCGAGGTGTTTCGGGGGTTGCCGGCTCATCGTCGGTTGAAGTTCCGTCTTCATCTTTTAAATGCTCTGCAAAAAATATTCCCCGACTTATGTCGAAGTCTTAGCGAACTCGATTCCTCTAATCTAAGAGCGAGGGAAAGCTATCTAGGTGATCAGAATTGGAACGGAGATTAGATCCACAGGAATAGACAGTAAGCAGAGGCTTCGTTACCATTCGTCGTGATTATGACGATTGACGACGGTCGTCTTTTCATCCTCACGGCGGGAGGCTTCTCTGGAAGTCCTTGAGAGCTATTCTGGGGCAGTTCATAAGGTGAGTTCGGGGAAACACTCCTCGGCGTGATCCTCCTCTCGATTGCCGCGGAGTTCTGCTTCTGGCCCTCGGACGTCGCGTACGGCTTCCCGTGCGTGCTCCGAGCATGAATTTGGAAAGCCCCTGGATCAGGTAAGCTTTGCATCTGCTTCTCTTTTAGAACGTTATCGAGTCTTTCTGCGAGTTCCGCCGCGTCGACGCTATCCAAAGATGTGCGGATCGAATCCCTCCTCTGGGGAGTCATCGTTCTGCTATTCATGATGCTCTGAGGGCAAGAGGGTGTCGAGAGATCTGATCGTAAGGAGTCCGATCGCGAATAAGCGTCACCTGTAAATCGAGTTCCTTTCCTCATCGGAGCCATACTGGAGCGTCTAAAAGCTCTTAAAATTCACCCGGCCCGAGTGCGGAAATCACTTTCGAGCGTCGACCATTCGGACGAAACTTTGTCTTTACCGTCTTGCTTCTTATTCCGAAGGCCTTTGAAGAGTCGGCGGTATCTGGGACGTCTGGTCAACAATTCCTGATGTTTTCCTTGGTCCACGACGCGACCTTGTTGCAAGAGATATATCTGTTGACAGCTCTCAGCTGTTGCCAGCGTCGGCGATATGACGATGCAGGTCCTGTTTTGTCGTATATCTTCCAGAACTCCCGTGACGATCTGAGGAGACACGTTTGAGCTCGAGAAACAACTTGTCCGAGAATAGACCTTTCCCGAAACTCCATCAAATCATCTCGTTTTCGGATCCGCATTGAGGGGGTGAGCGAGAAGATTTCCCGTCGCTTAGATCTCGCTGAGTTTTCGCTCCCGAGCTCGGCAGGGCTCAAAATTATTTCGGAACACCGTCGCCGCAAGTTTGTTAGCGGCTACCACAAACAACGAGCTCCGAGAGCTTACGGGGAGCTCCGCCCCACATTTGAACGAAGGATGCCAAAGCACCTCCTCGACGTGCGTTTTTAGACTTGCAAAGCGGATTATAACCCACGCGCTCGAGATTCCAAACACAGATAAAAGGCTTGGGAGGAGAGCGTCGTTCGGTCAGTGCGCTGTCTCTAAGCCGACTTCCTGGTAGGTAGGAAGGCAGGCAGGCCAGCCGGCTGTCCGCGGGGACCTACGTCGATTCATTCCCCGGGAGGAGCGAGGGATCCAATTCCTTGCGGACTCGTGAATTCACACAGATCGATTTCGCCCTCCCCTTCATTCCGTAGATTCACAGCACCCCAGAGAACGGATCATTTTCATCGATTCGCTTGGGCTCTCATACCGCCCTCGTCACCCAATTAGTCACCTTCTAATGTGGACTTACCCTCAATTTATCGTCTGACAGGGTTTGCCAACCTGTCTGGTCGACGAGGATGATTCGGGGTTCACGGAGGAGGGCTCTGGCCATGGAAAGTAAGATTTTTTCCGCCGGACCTATCGTTTCGCTCTGACCCCCGGAGCTACTTATGAAGGTGTGATACCCCTGAGGTAGATGCATGATGAAGTCGTGTATCTTGCTCTGCTGACACGCACTGATCACCTAGGATTAGAGGAACATCTTGAGATTCCTCGCGGCGACGAATCGGATTTCGCAAACTCCGGTCGTTCTTGCGAGGAGGGGACGAGCTCCACGGCTCGATATCCGCCTACTAACCATCTGATTAGTGACTTGCCGCGAACTTTCGCCGTGAGCCACGTTTGCCCAAATCGTGTCGAAAAAGAAATGCGCTTCTATATTGATTATGGCCATCTGCTTCCGCACCCAGGTCACGTCGAGGCTCAAAATTGGCTTGTTGTCCAATAACTGTGAAGGAATGAATCACATCGCAGCTTGTTCGTCCATAATTACGCCCGCCGAGAGAACACCCGCAGGAGCACTCTCCGCGGCGGGCTCTGGGGGAGTTCGATACTTGGCTACAATCGTTGCAAGGTCCTGCCCGAAATGGGATGAAAATCTTCGTACAATTTCCCCGGCCGTCGGGACATCGAACAGCTGCAGGAGTTCGAGGCACGTCCGCTTGCCGCTGCCGAGGTCACCGCTCAGCGCGATCATCTCGTTCGGCACCGCGCCGAACGAAACTCCCTTAAGCACAAGCTGTTCCTGAGTGAAGATGTACTTGCAAGTCGAGTATCTGAAGTGAACCGCTTGGAACGATATGATTCCGTCACAGATCTCCTGAAAGAGAGATATGTCAGAGTTCCGTCGAATGGCGCCGTACCCGGTGCTGCCTCTCTCGCAAACAATTCCCCGATGAGGAACCCAAACTGGATCTCTCTCTCTCCGGAGCTCCGTCGAAGTCGTCTTACTTTGTTCTCATCAACGAATTTTCTGCCGACGGCATAAAGTTTCGGCAGGCTATTCTTCAAGGCCAACACAAAAGCAGCTCCTTGTCTCGCCCTGGAGAAGTTGGGCGCGAACACAGCGAGAGACTGAGCGAGAAGGAGGACTCCGAAGATAATGCTCTCAGTCAGCTTGAAAACCTGTCGCACAAGGACGAAGGGGATCGCATCAATTCCCATTGATTCAACAGTCGAATTGGAATCTTGGTTGTGATGCAAAAGGACTAGGGAGTCAGGCCCGGGTACCTCTGTGAAGTCTCCGAGTTGCTCAGCGTTGATGGCCGTGCATGCGACTAGAAAGATGACGGTGTAGCTTAGCAACGGGATTGCTTGGGAAATACCGTATAGCACACCGTTGCGAGCACTCAAAGCCGTCCTGCGAATAGAATATATTTAGTCCGCTGAGAGGAGCCTCGCGAAGACTTAGCCAGTGAAAGCAAATGAAGCCTAATTGATTCGGGCTCCCACGCTCAAGTCTAGACTCGATACTCAATAGCGTATTTGATTAGAGCGGCAGTCTCCGGAAGCTGTCAAAGGGGGGATTGCTAATTGATCAGCGAGCTTCGATTTCGATGCCTTACCCGGTTCGCAGGGTCTTTGAAACGGCGATCGCGTAAGCCGCGCAGAAAACTTGTTCCTGGTGGAGCGACTTCACGGTGAGGATCTTATTGATGATATCCGTGGCTAGGAAGCGGCTTCTGTCATCTTGAACTTTAAGAGAAAATATTATCCCGAAGGAAACGAGGATCCTCCACTCGTCTGCGTATATTCCATGCCGAGTTGCGATCCGTATCCGATCAGTTCGCTCAGCGCTCTGACTGTAATTATGAACTCCTCGACAAATAATCGTTTTCACTACTCTCGCATTTTCGGAGGCTCAGCTGAGCCGAGCTCAGGTCAGAGGCCTTCTTGGACTTTTCGGGACCCGCGAGGGGAGGGCGATCGGTCCATCGCCCCTCCCCCTGCGATGGACCTTGTTCCTCGAAGGATCATTCTCGATGCCGCACCTTCCGTTTGTGGGATACAAAGTGAATTTACCTCTTTGAGTGTGTGAGCCTAGAACGAAGTGCTCGAAGAAAACGGCGATCAGGATAGCGGGCGCGAAACAGAGGGCACAGAGCCCCAATCTCCAGTAAAAACACGAAGCCAGCACGATCCAGCAGACGAAGGAAGAAAATCCTTGGAACATCAATGTCAGCAAGGGACCGACGAGCTGTGATTCCAAACGGACTTTCAGGTGAGGAGGAGTCATAAAACCCGGGCACAGGATAATCATGAAAAATTCAGAAACAGGGAACAATGGAAAGAATAGCGCTGTTCGAGTCGGCCACGTTCTACGCTTTGTCAGTCCTCCTTGAGGTACTCGTGGAGCAATGGCGGGAAAACCTTTCAAGCTGAGGCTGGCTGATGCTCATCAGCTCCAACTCTCAGCTCACTCGGTCGGAGTAATTAACTCACTAGTTTGATCTGTGCGACATCGTTGAGGATGATCCGAATGACTTCGGTGACCTCATTTTTGGGATTATCGAACCAAGAGATCGGCAGACGTAGGATAGCTTCGTATGCTGTTTCCAGGAGTTGGCATCCAAGCCGCTCGCCCACGTAGGTGAAAGACCTTGGACGAGAGAGTCATTCTACAGCTTGATTCGAATTCGTGTTTTGCCCCTGATCGGGAAGGAAACGAAATACACGACTCATGAAATTCAAAGTCCGTTCCCATGAAAAAAAACGGATTTTTGTCGCTCTCACCAACTGTGGAAGAATGCGACGGCGCTTGTGATTACTCCGAGGAGCACGAGATGGGCACATTGAATCTCTACGTAGTTGTTCAATGCCGACGAGTCATGGAGCAGTAGAAACGAGTAGAGCATGTCGCCGAACACGACTCCATACAGTGCGAGCGAGATGCCGGATAACGCCGCGAAAATACATCCGATGCTCACCTGCGGTACGAAGAGGGAGGTCATTCGTATCAGTTATTCGTACAGGAGGGGGGTGAGGCACATTCAACCTTGCAAAGATTCTCACCGTCGGCAGGTGTTCACGCAGGAGCGAAATAAATTGTGCATTTGAATATTGAGTTTGGAGATGAGCTTCGTGATTGAAGCCTTCGTTGTGTTCCGAAGAAGCATCCTGTTCGACCAGGGACGAAACTTGGCGGTCCAGCACACCGGAATAGGGGGGCAGACCTCTCCTGCAGGGATACCATTTATGTTGCTTCGATTCAAGGTATCGTCATTTCAAAATCATGGCAGCCAATCGCCGTATTGTTGTTCGGAATCCAACTGACCGAGAGGCGACAGTCCTAATTCCTTCATGTCTTGCAGATCTCTCTTCAAATGTTGTGCGAAAGTCTTCTTGCCATGGACGAGCTCAGCATAGCTGCCCTCCTCAACGATCTAAAGAAGAAAAAACGGATATTTGTTTGACGGCTCGAGGACCGCAGTTATTCTACCTCTTGGTGAACTAAGCGCGAGGGAGGAGAGTCACCTTGCCCTCTTCCAAAACGATGATTCTTTCATGATCTCTGAGCTTGAAAGCTTTGTTCGATATCAGGATCGACGTTCGACCTTCCATTGCCTGGCGACGGGAGGAAGCAAAGACATCGGCGTCAAGTTTTGAATAGAAACATATGTTCTTATCGTTCCCCGTGGAAAAAGCCTCTCCGATCTCAATTATCTGCCGTTGGCGTACGTACGTTCTGCATCGCGTGGATAACCATGGCAGCGGCGTCACCTCGCAAATTGTGGCTCGGATTCTCCAAGATAAGGATCGACGCATTCCTCGCGATAGCTCGCGCAATGCAGAGCAGTTGTCGCTGTCCCAGGGACAGTGGGGCTCCGCACGGAGACAATACTGTGTCATATTTCTTTGGTAACTGCAAACACAGACACAGAAGAAGAACGTCACCACAGCCTCGGGCAGAGTCGTAGAAGGTCGAGCTTTGTTCCTCGACTACACTGTACCTTCAGTATAAATTTGTGGGCTTGAGCAGCTATCGCAGCCTGTTCGATATCGCTCTGTTGGATCATCGGGTTTCCGTAACGAATGTTTTCCGCGATTGTCGCAGCAAAGAGAACGGGATCCTGTCGTACGACGGCGAGTCTCGAACGCAGCCATCCCACATTGTAAGAGCGAATGTCTCTGCCATCGACCAGAATTCTACCTAGAACCGGGATGTTTGCTGAAAAGACCGACCATTCCGAGAGAATTCGCCTCGAGCGAAAGCCCGAGTCGAGATAGAACGAATTCCGAATACGAATCAAGCTCCGTACCGAACGATGGTTCTGTGAAGCGTAACAGAAGGTCCGCAACAGCATGCGCCTGACCCTGCTCCCACGACGCGTCATAAATAGAGAGTCTCTCGGCGCACCTGACCTCGAGCGAGATTGTTTTCAAGGGCGTGGACAGATGTGGGCTCGAGACGCTGTCAAAAACGATCTCGCCTTGACACTGGCCTTCGGTCTCGCCCTTCGTCTCGCCACCGCTGGTACGGACGGAGTCGGCGAGTGCGAAGATCCTCTTAGCGGCGGCGCGAGCCCTTCTGAACGTACGAGCATAGCTAACCTGGAGAGGAATAGTGCCGTTCTGGATTATCCGGAGCGAGAGTGTACTCGGATGATTCTGATCTTGCGATCGAACGGAAACAAGTCTCACAAGTTTCGTAGCGCTGAGTATTGCCAGAGCGAGGTTGAAGATAGGACACAGGACGTGGGAAGCGACCATGTCTTGCTTCTCGTAGGCCAACTGGCGACAAATCCCATACCAAAAGGCTAGTGCATACGAAGCGTAGAGGAAACACCAGATCAGGGATGAGGATGCGCTCGTCCAGACCAACTTCCGATAAGCGTGTCGTTGACTATTGTCCAAACGCCGCCGGAACCTTTGGAGGAATAGTTCGAATTACTGTGGAAGCCTCCCGCTCAATTTTCACCCCTTAACGAGCGATGTTCGTTCAAACTCTCTGGAGCGGGTCCCATCGAATACCTCGCCCAAAATCAGAGAGATGTTCCTAAGGATTGATCTGATCGCACAGATATCGCGTCGACGCGGAGCGCCATCTGTCACGCTTGCCGTATTCTCACCACGTCGGCACGAAAAATCGAACAACGACGTTAACTCATAGAGTTTGCGGTTAATGACCTTGAAGGGCTCCTTCTGAGTCTCGCTCGCATCATTGCGACTGCATGCAAATATTCCCCATCGGGAAGGGAAATTTGAATTTAGATACGATACGTCTGCAGGTCCAAACAAGACGAGAAACTAACTTGGCGACTTCTTTGTCCTCCGCACCGAAAGCTACAACAGCTCGTATGTTGTGTATGGCTTCGCTCGCCGTGAACGCAGCTATGTGCAGTTGATCCCCTTCGATGCTCTGATGATATGCGACCCGCTGGCCGATCAGGGTTACGATCAGGAGAAACATCTGAAAGAGGTCGTCGGATGAGTTTTTCGGAGGCTCACCCAGCGCCATTCTGACACAACGGTTCTATCCGTAATCGATCAACCTCCGTTGTCGTCGGACCAAAACCACGTCGACGACGAGGAAAAAAATGCGACGACAACGCCTGTCGGGGTTTTCTGTATCCAACGAATGTAATTGTTGCTGGTGGACTGTACCGCCGATAAATTCTGCGTACCGGTAGAGGACTGAGCATTAGCAGGAAGAGAATCCAATTTGTGCCGAACGCAATCAGCGTGCAAGCGACTAGAGTACATGAGTTTGATACGAGCAGTCCGAGTTTGCTCCCCAAGCCTTCCTCGATGGCATCCAAGTCCCTGAAAGTTCAAAGCTACTTCATAGGCCCCTCGGGGTCTCCAGAAATCAACGAGAACCTCTCTGTTCCGAATCCGCGAAAGAGCCCCGTCTTAGGAGCCGGAGGATGTATGGGGCTCATGGATGCGTCGAAAGCGATAAGCTGAATGAGGACGAAGCTTACTCGAGCCTGTCCCGGATGAACTTCTCAGTTATATTCGTCTGGGCCCATTTCTGCTCCTGGCTCAAAACGCTTTCCATGAAGATGAGACGAATTCGGAATGCTTGCTTGGCTCCGGCCTGGCTCAGGAGGAATTCCAGAAGAGCATTCAGGGCAAACAGTCCGCAAACGCAGCTGAGGACAGAATTTGATCTCGTTTACGATCGAGCTCGCGACGGTCGGCCATGGCCCATGACAGATTTATATCGAGCAGATGGCGTGGGAATTTCATGAGGAGACTAATCTCACCTCGACAGACAGAGTATCACGAATGCCGAGTTCGTTGCGAAATCACCGGTGAAGTACTCGCCACTGAAAAAAATTGTAGGTCCGGATGCGGAGGATGTGGAAATTGAGCCGATCTGCACGCATCGGCATAAATGATTTTGTTGATCTCATTTACATGGGTGAATGGTCCAGAAATTTATCGTAGGCGATGTGGCTCCCATTTGTTCTGCAACGAACACGCGAGTGTTGAGCACGCTATTACGATGACAGCTATTCGAAGCATGTCGCGTCGAAGCATTGAATTCGAGAGCTTGCGGAATGCAAGTCATTTCCGATCTCACATTGTTCGGTTGTTGTAGAAGTGGTCCACGACGAAGAGGTCCATTAGCGAAGACATGAACAGCAATGCTAAAGGAGTGAGCGCTCCGGCCAGGAGTGCCGCGCAGAGCCCGACGAGCGCGAAGATTTTGTCCTTGAGCGTGGCATATCGGAACTGATCTCGAGACAGAAATGACGCAATTTAATTATGCTTAGGGATTATCGAGGCAGATGTCATGAATGAGCTCCGGGCGTCGAATAAACTGTGGAGTGTCGATGAATCGGGATAATCCCTGTCTAGGGAATCGCGCCAAATCATGTGAAAACAAGAAACCGCGCTCGATAATTCGCAGACCCCGGTCGATTTGTTGACTCCTGTTTTTGTTCCTTGAACACGTAGTCCCTGCTTCCTCTGAACTCTACCGATGGCTCTTCTTTCTTCTCTTTCTTTCTAGAATACTCGTTGGGCGGGGCACTAAGAGCTCTCAACTAAGCCGTGGAGTCTAATAAAAAGGATATAGCGGACTTTAACTACCATTGCTCAGACCTGGAACCTCCTACTCACCAAATCGCATATTGTTAGAGAATCAACGATCCTTTTAGTGCGTGACGAGCCTTGTCGATGTTCTCTGAAACTGCACGGGAAAGCTCAGACGTCGTTCATGCACCTCTTCAATGGAACTTGGAATTTTTGGTCCGGACGACCGAGATTCGACACACAGAATCATAGTCGATTCCATTGTTATCGAGCCATCATGCAACCCCGATCGAAGGCGACTTCTCCGATGGACATGGCGTCGGATCTGATTACCTCATCGATAACATGATCCCGAAACCACACAGGGAGGCAAACGAGGCGTTTCGGTACTGACCTGAAATTCTTGATTGTGGCCGGACCTTTCTTGCCCATCTCGGAGAACATAGCCGACAGTGTTCGGAACTGGAATGGATAAATAAATATTACGCAATGATCTCGTGGTTCCGTTGCCTCGACTCGCGCACACAGCTCTGTTTCCCTGTCCGGGCTTCTACTTTCTTTCACTGCGGAGGCTTTCTCCTGGGGACACCATCGCGCATTTCGTGGACCTCGAACAAATTTAAATCCTCTCATTGCGGACCGCGGTGATTCGGCGAGAGCAGCTCATCTTTGTACTACAGAGTCACGGTAATGGAGCTGATCGAGAGGAGGGGCGCCAACGCCTGATCCAGGCGGAATGTTTGCGACAATCGAGCTGAGGTCGAGTTGGATATATCGGACTGCAATACCACGATACTCCCCTACGACCTCCAACCGGGAGGCGAGTCGTCGGTCCGACTCAAGCTAATTTTTCTCACGACCTCGAACTTCGGAAAGTCATTCTGGAGTCAGGTTCTGCCGAAGACTAGATTCTCAGAGGTGGTGCTCAGGACCAGAAATACATGCCTATCGTTTCTTGACTTCCTCTCCCACAGGAGAAGACGATGACTGCCTTGTCAAGTGGAGTGATGGGGCTTCACAGAAGCCCAAGAGCATCGGAAAGAATGTACCTGATTGATATCCCGAGTCCGCGAGTCTGGAGAGTCGTTCCTTACCATATTGAGATCTCTGAAGACCGTCGGACTGAGACGCGTCAAATGCATCGTCAGGTGTTGCGAATCAGAGGGTTGTTCAACGATTCAGCTGTACTGAGCTGCTCAGGTTTCGTGCTTCGAGACGTCCTTGGGGGTCATATTCGATCGGATTCCGGAAAGCATCAAACGGCTTCAGAACTGCGTAGGTCGATTCGTGACATGATCATCCATGGTAGCGGAACTTATTGTCGGTGATTCCCCCTGACCGTTGAATTCACACACTGCGGCGCTCCCCGCACAGTGCAGCGCGGAACTCTGGAAGATTCCATCGTCACCTCAACATCGAGAGAAGCACTTTCTCCGTCGACGACAGTATCCACGACAATGTGTCGCTCCAGATGACAGTTACAGCAACACAGGTGGGGGAACTTCTCTTCTTCTTTCACTTTTCATCGAATGATGCTGATTAGCGTTGAGGACTTCGATGGCATATCTTCTGACAGAGCTGCTGGCGGCAGCGATGGCAGAAGAATCCCATGATGGAGACGCAGCCGTCACGTGTTCCAGTGGAGCGAGGATGCATTGCGCACAGCAGCGGCCGCACCACTCACAGCGGCAGCAGCGGCGGCTGCCGTCAAACAGAAACTCTGTCTGAAGTGAAATCGATTCTGTGAAGCTCCTGGGTAGCAGCCGTTGAGCGATACTGGATTTCCTTTTTTCACCAGTGAAGAAATCGACAAGACGGAAGAGCGTACGAGCGCTAATTACATCGAATGTTCCGGTGACGGCGGGATTGCAAACTCTGTCTATTGTCGTCGAGTATCGTGTATCATTCACCTTGTGCCTAACAAAACGGAGCGAAAGCTGGCCAAGGACACCTTGGAGGCTCTCGCTCACCACCGCACTCTCTTGCGGATCCCGCTCAAATCCACATGCTCGAGCGAATCCTTGGAGATTTTCTGCCTTTTGTATTCTCGATTGCTTCGATCATTGGCGAACAATCCTTAGGCGATCATGACCGATGCTCGTTTTGAATCGGAGGGGAAAGGGAGGGGAAACTATGAGAATTACAGCACCTACGAGAGTAATCGGAAAATGATCTGTCTCGCATCGGATCGGACTGACAGTGGTCAGGGCAGAATGCAGTAGACCCTATCAACTGAAATTTCTGAGCTTCGTGCCTAGAAGCGAAAATGTCTGCCTCCGTTGTCGCTCCACTGTCCTCCAGGCAGGGAGCAAAGGTGGCGCGCTCCGCTCGAAAACAGTCTTATTTTCCCGTAGAGGAATCCGGATATTCTCCATCCTTATTGTTTTTGACAGCAGTTCTCGTTGAACTGCGATGAGCTTCATTTAGATAAGCTGCCCCCTTCTGAATTCGGGGAGTCAGTTCATCGTTCGAGGTCTTTTTGGGCTCTGAGACTTAGTGCAAGTTTCGAGTCCGACATATTTCTTAGCGAGCGTGGAGCATCCTCCTTTCCTTCCGAAATCAAAATCGCTCCTGCACTGTGCTGGTAGGTACCATTGACGCTCGAGAGAGCGGTTTCCAGGCGAGGTTATTCCACCGAGAAGGTTTCCCTGGTGCTGCACTCTCCTTTTGCGTCAAGCTCCATTTTTCATTTTGCTCATCCATCCTACTTGTCTTCATCGACTCACAAATATTCAACCGATATATAAAAAGGATGTCTGCTGGAGCTGCATTCCTCGGTGTCCACGCCACGCTCGTTGGAGCTCACTTTGCGGTGAGACCAATGCAGGGTTCACTTCGCTGTTTGCGATTCTTTCGGAATGTTCAGACTTCAGAAGATTCCAGGACCTCCCCCGCTGGCGCTTCGGAATTCCCAAGCAACACTTCGTGACCTCCGAGTCAGGCAGCTACCCCGGGGCCCATGAGGTGTCGTTAAAAATGGAATACGGTGATTCGAGTCGCGTGGAGACAGAGAGCAGACTAATGAAGTCAAACAATGGAGCGAATTTTCTTCTAAATGAATGAATGAAGAGCCTGACACTTGAACCGTGCGAAGCTAAAGACTCCCTAATTGCAGGGATGGTTTGGGTTCAGAAAGCGAAAGCAACGACGGTCCCTCGAAGGAGAGGTCCGCTCTTATCCAAGATTCCAACGACGGCTCCTCACGTTCAAGGTTGCTTCTGAAGGGTTTCCCAAGTTGGGAGACATTGGATTTCACGCCTTCTAGCGAGCCCGCAGCGTCGTGTCGGGAGCAGGAGCCGCCCACCAGGTGTACCGTAAACAGGAGTGCGATTTCGGCTCCTGGGGCTCCAAGACTTCGGTGGAATTTCAAATACATCGATAACCCGAGAACTACCCTCGATCATACCGACCGTCTTTCGAAGTCATTACTTGATGTGATTAAGGTCGAAGTGCGGAGGGATTTTCGAAGAGCTCCACTGTATAGGTATTGAGAATTGAGACCTTCAATTTCATCCTTCACGATAGAGATGTTTCGAGGTAGGAGCGACCAGGCGATTAGCCAAGGCTATTAGAGCTCACTGAAAACCCAGAATCCATCCCGAATCACTCAGCTCAGCGCGGCGTTCCATTCGGATCGTTTCTTGGAGCGCCCTTGCTCCCCCGATTCGCGGTTAAAGAGCCGTTCCGGGACGATCGGATGATTTCTCGGTCGGAGCCTCCGCAGCGGACAGATTTTTCCCTGTTTAGTTCGCCACTCAACGCGCTCCTATAAGTTCATTTCGCGCGCGGAGAGCATCAAAGCTCGTTCGAATCGAAAACTGCTCAGTCCTTCCCGATTCGCTCTCTGCACGGTCTATTTCTCCACCGAGAGTATCACGACCCCCCAAGAGCGGAACTTGTCCGAACAGGGCTCGTTGCAAAACCGCTCAACCCCCGCAGCGTTCTCCTGAATACACAGACAAACATAAGAAGCGCCCGCTGTTCGCAATGATTCCAGTGAGCTCTCCGGGGTTTCCGAAGGAATGAGTCAAAACGGAATCCTCGAAGAACCAACGCCGCGTTCCCTCTAATAGGAAAGCTCTCTCCGATCGTGGGGACGCAATCCTTCCACCCATTGGTGGAGGAATCAAATGAGGCTTGCTCCAATAAGGTAATATGCTCCCGCAGAAAGGAATGCTCCCATGGAGGGTTACGCTCCGAATACGGCATTCAGATGGTGAGCCGGTCCGGTGGTTGGACTCACAGCTGCCGACCATCAGGTATCGCGGGTCCCCCGAAATCTTGATTCAGGTTGTGATGAAGTTTGCATGACACTGGGCAAGAACAGGCATACGTTGGAACCTCTCAAGATTGTCAAGCGCGAGTAGAGTGCGAGATACTGGGTTTGAGCTGTCGGCGAAATCCTCAGCCTTGTTCCTTCCGCGAATACTCGCCCCCTGATCTGACGTCCGAAGCAATAACCGGACCGATGGCCGGAAACAGTAAGCTTTGGCTGTCAACATCTGTTCGGGGATGCGCTCTAAACAATAACATGAGCTAGACATCGGTTGTGGGGGAACACCGACCTCAACCCATCTCCTCTGACGAATAGAGAGGCTTGCTCTAATTAGGGGAAGCCCGAATCGACCGCACCCTGGCGGAGGGTACGTAGAGTGTACGCTTTATGCCCATCAATTAGTGAACATACGGTATTTGCCCGAGATTGGCCCCGGTCGGAGCTCCCTTTGTATGTTTGACCAACTCCCGGAGAAGGGGCTGAATAGAACGAACAGCTCAGGCAACGGTATTTCCGGTCGGAAACCATCTTGAATTCGGAGCCGGACCCGGACCAGGGCCAAGAGCTCGCGGTCGTAGGCGGATTATCGTGGAGAGAAATAGGGGGGGCGTCCATTTCCCTTTTCCAGTCAGAGAAGTTTTGACGCCCGAGCTTCTAGCACGTCGAAAGGGCTAGGGCCAAGGCTCGGCTCTTCTTCGAACGTTTATCGGGAAACTGAGCGAACTCTCAACCATACCGGTCTCGCTTGGTGAATATGATGAAACGTCGACTTTAAAGCTGATTCTCACTCACCTAGCACCAGCGAGCACAGAACACCAAGAGCTCCATCGGTCACGAGCAGGGAGCTTTCGTAACGAAGCGCAACAACACTCAGTCTCAGCCCACATTCCGAGCTCATCTCTCGTGAGCTCGCAGAGGCGGACGAATCTTTTATGGATTTATGGTCTCGTTTACCAACGCTCCCCGGAACCTACCGACAGTGATGACGCGCCTCATAATTACTTTGAGAGCGGAGAAGAGAAGACGAGCGGAAAGCGTGGACAGAAACTTAGCTCTCACCAATGTATAAGACTCTGGGTCGATGCTTCGAATTATCGTCTTAGCGTCTCATCAACATCGCGTCGGAGGCGTAGCGCGAATCTGAGGAGACGCCATTGACCCCTCAAGGATCTCCTCGAGGAATGGAGACGAGCATGTGGGGACCACCGATGACAAACGTTGAGCGAACGATCCGTCCCATTGAACACCGGACATATCTATAGGTGACGTTCCTCTCCATTCGGTGGCAACCCGGAAAGTACCAACATGCATATCTCACTATCTATGGAGTTCCCCTGTCCGTTCCCAAGGTCGGAGTGAGAACCGATTCGAATTATTCAGACATTCAACAGGGTCAGAATTTATGGTTTCCCGGTTCAGCAGTCGCTGAAATCCCGGGGCATTTTAATCTGAATAATGGACCGCGCTCTTCGCCTCCGGATTTTCTCCGTCGCATTCGGGTAAGGGCTAGTCAAAAGTTTCCTCCGGGGGCATTGCGACGGGGAATCTTCAGAGACACGCACCAGCCTTGAAGGAAGCGTGGAACGTTGCGTCCTGGGACAGTCGAAGAAATTAGCGTGATGAATGCCATCAAGAGCTCGCGGCACATCGAACCTCGCCGGTGCTCGCTGGGGGTCGCCCACCGTCGTGGAATGGAAGCCTTGGATTTCATGCTTGCGTTCCCGTACTCGGAGTCCGTCACGCTCAACGTAGTTATTGTCCCGAACTGCGAGAGCCTTCGTTCCTGGGCAACGAACGTTGGCTTCGCCCAGGAGCGAAAAAAAGGGACAGCTCCTGCTGATCCGACTTTGCGATCGTTTCACGCTC